TTTTTTTTTTTTTAAGCAGATGTTATTTGGGCCAAAAATATGGATCATCTTTTATTTCTTTTTCTTTGTTACTAGGACGGTAATGTTACTTTAGATGTATAATTGTTTGAAAATAATAAACTATTGTGAAATAATTTGCAGCGTTTTTAAAAGGGAAAAGCGTTATTTGTTCCATTGATTTAATTAGCTAGAACCAGGTCATTAACTTCTTTTAGTTAATAGTTTCGCTGAAAATGATAAATTTCTTTTGTGTCGAATGTCATCTCATCGGTACAAACGTACATACTTTCGGTTATCCCCTACCTCGCCATTTCTGGCAGAGGAGTGGGGTGATTTTCTTGAGATACCACAAATCTTATTCGAACTGTAGTTAGAAGGTCAAGATTCATCCCGTCACGAAACAATATAAAGGTTAAAAATGTGGACTCAGTAATAACCTTGATTCCATTGACGAAATTTTCATTGATTTTAGGAATTCTGTACGTAATGTTTTCTAATCTGTTTTATGTTTGTAATTCTTGTTTTTCTTTCTTTTTAGACTTCGGTAAAAGGTTAGTTATAAATAAATTAAAGAACTTGTTATGATGTTTTGTATTGTCCATTAATTTTTGTACTGTTTTATCCCACATCTTTTTTATTATATACTATTTTTCTATCACATAGAAATATGTTTCTCTCCTATATTTCACTCTGTCAAAATTGCCCTCTCAACAATTTTTATGGCGCACCTTCCGCTATACAACCTCCTTCTGGACACCACTAATATTTTAAACCTGATAATCCGGAAGCCGGTTGCATGAAATACATCTTATAAAACGTACACCTAAAAATATTTTTTTTTAATAATTTCGACTACAACAAGCACGTAAACACATTTCTAGCGTTTCCTAAAAATCTTAACAAGCAATTAATTAATTCGATGAAGCTATAAATTACGTCACGATAACTAACCCGTGAAATGTACGATGAGTTTTTAAAAACTTACTTAATAAGAGGTTTAGGATCGTCAGAAATATGTTTCCGAGCTGTGTTTGATACAACTGTTTAAAATTAATTCCACTTATATATATGCTTTATGAGATCGATTTTATACATTCTCCACCAGGACTTAAAAATATTTTGAAATAACCGAAATTGTATTAACTCTTTGGCGCATTTTCAATTACCTTGTCTATTCATCAAAGACATCGTAATAAATATATTAAACTAAATTTCTGACCATGATTGCTTAAAATAGGACCAGACGTGAACACTTTATATCGGCGCAATTATTTCGGAAGACGTGACCTGTATCAGTGGTAACTATTAGTGACCAAAAGTAACAAATTGGCTTCAACTGACCTTCACAAAAATTACGATTACTTTTTGGTCAGAACTATTTCTATCTATTAAACCGTTTCACTCAAACTGTTTTTATCTCCTCTTCATTCGGCAGAAAATAACTGTTTTTAAATGGTTAAAGAATTGTTGTCTTGTTAGGCTTATTTTGGAAATCGATTATATCTATTGGAGTTGATTAAGGTATTAAATATAATTAACCGTTTTAGAAATAGGTTTCTGACCGCAGATGGGCTGATAAAATTTTCTGTGTATATGAAGTTTTAAGTTAACGTGCTCTACTTGCTGTCATATATAGTCCATGCGAAATTACTGGACGTCACAATAATACACAATTTATTCCAAAACTTTGACCCTGCGATTTGATTATGGTCATAGTATATGCAGATATTAATAAGAACATTGTTCTTTGAAATTCGAATGGAAGTATTGTGTCAGAAAATATTAAATTAATTTTTGGAATTAAAATTTTTTTATTTAAAGTAGCTCCCGTTAGTACTTCACTCTCATTCGTGTTCCATTAACTAAAGCTTGTGGCAGTATTTAAATTAAAAATGAGCCTAACTATTTTCTTTTAACTTTAATTTAGGATATGGCATTCCATTAACATTCAATGAAATCATCTCTTCAAGTAATAGTCCAAAACTAAAAAAACAAATTAAAGTAAAAACCAAACTAAAGAAATTCGTCTTTGCAAAAGGAAAAGTACTAAATGCTTAAAATGATATATCTCTGCAACAAATAGTCCTGTTCCGATGACTTTTTTTTTGTTTTGGAGGGAATTCAGGAAGCTTTAAAATAAATATCCGTATTATCCATAAAAAATTGTGTACTTTTTAAGTTATTCTCAAATAATATTCTGAATTGATCGTAAAAATGTATGCAGCTTGTTTTAGGGAAAGTATGTTATATACACAAATTATAAAGGTTTCAAGGGGAAGGGGACTTTAGTCAAGTTTCATTAAAATAGTTGCAGCCGTTTTGGCCCAACAATCTAAAGCAAGTTACGTTTTTCGACCGTCATTTCGAAAGAAAAGGCCGAATGATAATGAAATAGATATAAAAACACTCCTAAATATAATTGTGACGTTGTTTCAAAATTTCAAAAAAATCAAAAAGTGAAGAACTTTCGTAAATTAGCTGTTTTGAACTATCATTTTTATTTATTGATAACACTAAAGCTCGTTTATAGCTATTAAACAAAAAAGAAGGAAGAAAATTGGTTGAATAATAGAGGAGAAAAAGGGGCTAAACCGTTTTGTTCTTGCCTATTTATATAATGATTAATGTTCTTTCAATTTGAACGCAGTGCTTTTTAACCAGAAATGCGTAGATTATGAGTTGTCTGCGGAAATGGATAAAAACATGCTATTTGTGCGAATTACGCTATTTGTATTACGAATTTTGTTACGAATTTGTGCGAATTACGTCATATGCTGAGTTCATTAACAAAAATTATATGCAATGATTTAATAAATAAAGCAATGCATAAATTAAAATCTGGTGCGCTCATAACAAAACTTTTACTGACCGTTCTAATTTCAATATAATTCATTCTATGGCAACGTTAGACTACTACTACGTTTTTGAAATACATTTTTAATGGGGCCAAATCAATCTTAACCCTTACAACTAACCTGTGAACCACATAATTCCAGTCTCTTGGCTACTTATTTATGCTTAAAGAGATTTGAAAGAACATCTATATATTTAATCTGTAACTGTTTATGGATTGTATACTGTTAGTTATTAAAATTTTATTTTTCCATTGTAAACTTTACTGAAATGATAATTACGAGATTTTCATTGCCTACTATCGATAGGTCAAAAGTTGTCACATTAATTGTAAATGGATAATTTTGTGATTTTCCCTGTGGGAAAGTTCACCAAATTATGCACTCATTTAATTTTCTATAATGGCATATGATGGTGTTATCGGAAAAAAAACGACGATAGATACCCAATAATTTAAATATAATATCGCCTCTAGAGTTATTAAACTACAGTAAATGTATTTAACTTTATAAACATTACGTTTTACCAACCATAAAATGTTTTTATTTCACTTTTTATTTCACAACTAAAATAAAATAGTTTTTTTTAACATTCCTATTTACTTGATTCAGTAAATTTTATATACTTTTTTCAAACATAAAAATAGTTTTAAAAATTTACACTCAGGTAGAAAATTTCATTTAATTTTCTTGGAAACATGTGATTTCCGTTAAATAATATGTTTTCAGAAATTATTGTTTAGAATTTTTTCTTCACTTTTCTTCTACGACTTTGTATGTTAGATATTGTTTTTCCCAAAATTCTCAGCTTTCCAACGATTTATTATACGTATAGCTTCTGACTATTATTTTGGAAATTCGTTTTCGACTTAAATAAACATTTTTTTACTTTGTCTCCTTTAGTCAATTATCAAATTCCTTCAAATTTTATTTAGTATATTTATTCTTCTTTTATTGCTAATAATAAGAAGAAATAGTCAATTATTTAAAATAAAACAACTTAAAAGTACTTAAAGGAAGAACTTCTGAAAATTCGGCATTTAAACCATTTTAGACAGCTTCAATGGGGATGAGACCTATTTGATAAAAAAGATCATTTGATTATACATTGATAAACTGAGTATATTAAAAATCATTTGAGCCGTTTTTGAGAAAATTGTAAAAATGTGGAAGATCTATGATATAAAGTGGCACTACCCGATTTTCAGGAAAAAGTTTCTGTAACATCCCAGTTATGTACCTATCTTAAATACTTTCATACGACTTTTCGTATTTGAAGTAGCCTGTCCACGCACGCGCTCACTCTATTTCAAACTCTATAATACTATAATAAGTAGTTTATTCATATTACAATTCATAAATAGTTTTATAGGAAATACAATAAATACATAAAACAAAAATTATTAAAAAAATATTTTCATTATATTATGTTTAATTTTCTTTCAAATTATTTAGGGAGATGGGGAATAGCGCCAGATATTTGGGTCGAAACGTCGGCAAATTTAATAAACCTGATTATTGACTGCATATCCTTACTATTTTTCACCCTTAAAATTTCAACAATCAACTAAATTTCCATCTCTTATTTATTTATTTTTTAATAATTCTTTATGGATCACTCAAATACCATTTTATATAATTTTATTTGTTTTCTTGAAGATTCATGATCCTTATAAAAAAAAAATTAATCTGCCCCAGAAAATTAAATTTTGAATCAGCTACTGCACATATCTCATTATATTGAAGTGTTTTTGTTATCATATCCTGTCAGTAGGTTGTGTTAACATCTAGTTATTATGGTGTATTTGTTTGTGCAGTGCTTGGTAGAACCGTTAGTTATATTCAAGAATATATCTTTAGTAACCAAATCTATTAGATCTTTTACTTTTCTGTATTTCCTAATCAGGAACAATGTGCATTGTTATGAAAAATAAATTTCTATTCAATTTATTTATATTGGGCTAATCCCTGGCCAAAATCTTTTTTAAATCACCAAAAGAGGATGTCGGGCACCACCCTCATAATATCCTAATCCATTATTTTTCCTTAAATTATTATTTCTATCTTTCCATTTTTTTTTTTTTTTAATTTTTGCTTTTTGAACACTTTATTTGTTTGGTTCTAATTTATTAATTATTCTTTTTGCAGATGAGATGATCCTATCTGAGGATGAGTCGATGCGGGAGAGACTCTGTGACCTAGAAAAGAAAGTATTGTCTCAAGGTGAAGAATTAGCATGTCTACGTTCCACATTAGCTGATGTTCTCCGAAGGATAGCTGCTTTAGAAATAGCCAAACCTCAGGCTAACCACCGACGTAAGTATTGCATTAAAATTTGAAAACTAATAATTAAAATAAGATTTTTAAATTATGTTGGTCGTCTTCATCAGTTCCTACCTTACTGATAGACACTTCAAAGTAAATCATAGTAATGCCTATTCGTCCTTCTTTTCTCAATCTGCTGGTGTTCCACAAGGTAGTATCTATGGTCCTATCCTTTACACAGTTTATACAGCTGATATCCCAACCCATCCTAACACTGTTATCACAACCTATGCTGATGACACATATATCGGTTAATAACCATCCATCAATTGCATCCTGAACTCTTCAATCACACATCACAAACCTTGAAGAATGGTATTAAAACTAGAGGATTAAAATAAATTCCAATAAATCCCAACAAATCACCTTAACCCTTCATCGTAAACCTATGACTTCCTGTCCTACAGTATCCTTTAATAACACCCCACTTGTCCCTGTTGAAACAATCCGATACCTAGGACTCCACCTGGACAAACGTCTCACTTGGAATCCTCATACAAGACTGAAACGACAAGAACTGCTCGACGTTTCCGCTTAATCCAACACTTACTAGACAAACGCTCTAAACTTCCAATTAATTACAAAAGACTCACATACCTGACTATAATAAGACCTGTTTGGACTTCATAACCATCTGAATCCTCTTGTTTCTAACCTTGCCACTCTTCAATTCCTGATAACCCTCCGAGGCGTCTGAAAAGAAGATGGCCTCGTGATCTCCTTATATAGACATATCATTAGATTGCTACCATTGGGTAGTTTCTCAACAAGTGTGTTCATGTGATTATATTTCTGTGTACACTTTTACTTGATTTATTTATATTGTAATACAGTTGTAAATATCTTCAATAAATAGTTAAAAAGTTTGTAGTTTAATTGAAAATTCAAGATTAGTACATATTTATTTGGGAAGAATTAGTTTCTTCTTTTCAAATTTGATATTTACAAACAGATCTGATCGCGAAAACATTACTGCTGAAATCCTTCTCTACTGATTATATTCCAAAAATCTCCCTTCCAAAAATATTTCTTTTATATTATTTTATTATTTATTTTTTATTTATTTTTTTCTACAAGATATTAATTATTTATCTTTTATCTCACATGTTTAGACAAAATTAATCTAATAAGTAAATCTGGCACTGATGGCCACATTGCTTTGTAATCAACCAGCTAACCTTCTATGAGGTCATGAAATTTGATTGGTGATTTGAAATTAATGATATTGACATCATAGTTAAAATAAATTATTAATGTCTAATAATTTATAAATAATAATTAATATTAAAAATTAATAAAAAATAAAATAGCATTAAGTTTAAAAGGTTTTAGTCACCTACCAGTGTACAACTAAGAGTCTGAATTGAAATAATTTTCAATGTCATACTGATGTATTTAAAAAAACAAAGAATTTTCAAGTGAATAATGATTTTCAATTCCTAATGATTAATATCATTTAACGAAATACTATCATAAAGAAATAAAGAATATATATCAACATATATTAATTAAATTGGAAAACAAAAGGTTAAATTTTTGAGTTTAGTTGGATTTGTACATCATTGAATATGAAAAATGATGCTATTTCATTTTTTAACATCTTAATCGTCCTTCTAAGTCTCATGAAGTCGAATGAAAGATAAAAATGCATTGCAGGTTTCATTCATCATAATTTGTGTGACACCAATCATCAGCTGTTTGATGAAATGTCATGATCCACCGTCACATGCATGGGTGGATCTACAAGGAGGCTTTCGGGCTAAAGCCTCCCCAAAATGGAAACCACGTCTTATAAAATTATCTCTAAAAGTATTATTGTTCATGTAATTACATTTTAACTTCATTTTGACTTCAAGAATCACTTAAACACCATTTCATATTGTTAGTTAGTTCCAGATAATTTCCAAAGCAATTATCATTTTAAATATGTATATAAATAAAATCTTTTGGGCTGAAGCCTCCCCTCAAAATTAAATCCTGGCTCTGCTACCGGGAACATACATGATAAATTAATTAATATCTAGTATGTTGTTATTTTAAGGAATAAGTCATTTAATGAAATTTTATTCTCTATCATGCACTTGTTGCACATACTTATTCTTTCATTTGCAGCCAGTCCGGGAAACAGTCCACGAGAAAACACAGGGCTGAGGTACCGCAATGCTAGGGATACACCAAATGGAAGAGAACCTGTCAGAAGAGTTCAAAGTTCTACACCAACATCACTACCTCATAGGTACAAAAATGCAAGCTATATATGAAAAGTTATCTTAGTGTTGTACCGCCTCTTATTTATATCTAATTTTTTTTTTTTTTTTTTTATACAGTTAGTATAAGTAGTATTGTTAACCCACTTAAAATAGTAAGTGGGCCTATTGCTAACTAATTGCTGCTGGGTTGGAGAGAGGGTGTTTGGATTACTGAAAAGTTCAGGAAAACTACCTACAATAAAAGATTAAAACCCAATAAATACATGGAACATTATTATTTGACTACATATACATTACTAGTAACACACCATTGCAAACACTCATATTACCATATTAGCCTGGGAGGGTGGAACAAATAAATAAATAATTACATGTATATTCACTTGAAAACATTTAGTTGATAAATGTCAATATTTTGCTTTTAAAGGACCCAATTATTTTTTGGTTAGACTTTTGAAGGTCCTTCATGGCTTCTTCTCTATAATATTATAGGTGAGGGATTTGTTTACCAGAGTACATTATTTACTCCCACCCATTGAATTTAGTGATTAGAAGAAGAAGGCTTCTCAGAAAATAATATATGGATGATTAGTATATGAGCTACTTACTTTTGAATACACCCATGCTGGCTCATGTCTTTTCTAACAAATAGTTTTTTGTCCTTCATTACTTTTGATTTATTTCATTTTTTCCCGACTGTCAAGATTATTAAGATTGAACTGTATTTAATTCTAAAACAATTTGCTATAATAAAGATTTATAAATTTCTATACTTAACCATTTTTTTTTTACTCCATACGTACTCCATATATGAAATAATGGAAGGGGAAGTATTTAAATTGTAAACAAATTTTAGTCCAAGTTTTTTGTGGAAATACATGTTTTAAGGTCCCAGAGTCCAAACAACCAAGTTTCATAAGGTCTGTGCATATTTGAAGAATCTAGTCCAAAAGTGAATAATCCTGCAAAACTGAAATTATATATTTAAAGTAAGTACCTGGAATGTTACAACAACTTTTTCTCAAAAATCGATTAACCAGAAATGCTATTTTATATTATCCATTTTACAAATTTTTAAAACTTTCTCAAAAAAGGCCTAAATGGTTTTGATTAATTAATTAATTAAACTCCATATATTAATGTAAAATTAAAAGATTTTTGATATCAACTATGTATTATCCCTCATTGATAAATTTTTACAGGGCTTAAATATAAAATTTAAAAATAGTCATTTAAAAGCACCATTATAGTCATCTAACATATTTTTAAGGAAAAATAACTGAGCTATGGTAAGGCAAACTCTTGTTTGAGGTTATGAAATATTCATGATGTTATGATCTAATGCCTTGGAAATTATGGTTTCAAACTGACTCAAATAAGCTTTACTCAATTACTAGAGTCAAAAACTCATATAAAATACTTATTATTAATAAATTATTTTTGTTTAATATTTATTAAACATAACTTCAATTTTAAATTATTTGTTATAAATAATAAACACTATTATTATTATTTTGGTAATGTAAGGAAATATCTCCTACCTAAATCAATAGTTGCTAGATGTCATTAGATAGTAGTATCGTGCACTTATTTTTATAAAAATAATTAATACATTCCATTTTAGTTGTTTATCAACTAACCACCCTTGCCATAGTTGTCATTTAGTGCCATGCTGTCCAATAAATATTTGATATTTTGTCAAGTAAATGCCTCTTGTAGAGCATGTAATAAACTGCATCCATATTCCTCAACCTGCAAGCAGAACACTGTGGAATCAAAAATACTGATTCTATGTAGATGGGCTGCCTGTTAGCCACATCCTGTAGCCATGTGAAAAGTATAACCAACACCAATGGTTCTAAGGAGATATCATGGATAAATAAATATTAAATATGATATCAACTAAATTCATTTACTGAGAGGAAAATGATTTGGTTGAGGTAACAGTCACAGTGAGAAACACAAATAAAAAAATAAAAAAATATATATATATATATTTTTATTTGTCAATTTCATTTATATTTATTTATTCAATGTATATTTATTTTTATTTTTTTTTTCACTGTGATAGCAATCTCTAACTAACTTTCCAACCACATTATCTACAGTCAACTATTTCTTCACCATTATGAAAAATGATAAGCTTGGATGACTGGTTGCATGTCATCAAATTGGAACATAGGCCCCGATACTTAGGAAATATTGGGGGGAGGTTTGTAAAATAATAACGGTGTCCAATGGATTGGATTGTGGGAGGAAGATAGAACACCATATATAAAGGATACAATGATCAGTTCATAACCTATACTGGGGTGCTTTTGAACATTTTTTGGTTTGAAAACATCCACCAAATGAAATAAATATTTTATTTTCACTTTCTCGAATTCAGTGGCATTGTAGCTTTTTTCTAGTCAAGTTCATTTTGTAGTAGCCAAGAGGTTTCAGATGTTTTGAAAATCATTCAATATTATAATCCCACTTACCATTCTCTTCTTTGCTTCGTCTTGTTCCATGGTAAGCAGTGCCGGCCTCAGGGCAGGGTAACCCCCCGGGTATTTGGCATTGGTTGGAAGTGCCCACAACTTATTAGAAATTTTAAAAAAAAAGTACAAAGTGTGTGAGAATAATTAATTTTAGCCTATTAATAAAGCTAATAATTGCACAATCACGGTAAAAAATAAAATGATTTTCTTTAGACCCATTATTCTATTTAATCTCTGAAAGAAAAGAAAAAGGAGTCGACTTAATAGGGATCTATTATCAATTAATACTGAATCTTACTCTTCTTCAAGGCGCTTGATACATACATTAAACCATTTCTCAAATCCATAATTTTATCAATGATTAAATATAAACAGGAGTCCGAAATGATATTAAAGTTTATTGTAAATTCATGTAATATATACTCTCCAGTGCTTTCTTAAAATGGCTTATGAATTATATTCAATCCCTGTTGATAATTATATAGTTAAATGGAAATCAATCCAATAACCAATTTTGGTACTGTAGTCTACGCATAAAATGCTTTATACATATATTGTACATTTACATGACCAACTTTCATTGAGTATTTCATTATGTTTTTATTTATAATGACACAATCATTATAAACTTCACTGTAACATCGATTTTTACACAAGGCCATAGAGAGGAAATGAAACATCATAGATTTCATTTTGTGATCAGAAAAGTTCAAAACCCCATTTTCCAAAAAGATTGTCCTTACAGGATTTTGCAGTGTGGCTATGGATTTGGTTAAATTAATTTTTTTTTCTTATAGCTTATTGGTTTGATAAAATCTCAATTAGAGGTTTGTTTTTCAGGAGAGGTGTACATTACCAATCCACTGGGTCTCTTCACTCAGACTCTCCTAGCTCCAGTTCTGTTTCACCACCACAAACTCCTCTGATGCGGCAGAGTCCAACTAACCCTGCGCCTCGCACTATTCCTACTCCAACTAACCTTAATAAACGCTGGTCCTCGACTGGTGACTTCAGTAACCAGCATCAAACATCTGGTGGTATGGTACCTGCACATAGTTCCTCCAGGTAAGAAATTCTTATTAAAAATGTTATTTATACATTACTGCAGAAAAGTTTGAAATTGTTTTGTTGTAGGATAGTCCTTAAAATTTTTTATTTATAATTGCATTTTTATCATTACATTGATTGACTGAACTAAACTATCTAAAATTGTCAAGTACCCAACATTAATTTCCATTGTGATTCTTAATTCTCTATGGTTAATCATATTACAATTTCCAATCACTAATGATTAAAGCTGCCAAATTTTAAAATATTTGAAAGCAGCTTTATGTGATTTACTAAATGTTCTTGATCCTAATATATTGGTTGTCTGGAAGATAATGCAGGAGAAAATAATTTTGAGTTTTCTTTATATAGCCCCCTTTATATAGCAACCTGTTTGGGTATACTGGATTATTCAGCACTTATTAATCCTCTTCCAAACAATAATGATTGTTTAGCTCTGTAATATTTCACTGCTTAGAAATAATTCAGTCTTTACTAAGATGACAACATGTGATTTTAGTAAAATTTTGTTTTACGAGTTTAAACTCGGTCGGAATGGGACCCAGATGGCCAGAATCATCAATCAAGTCTGGGACTAGAGCAGCATTAATGAATGCACTGTTTAATGGTGGTTCAAAAAATGGTGGAGAATTCATCTATGAAGACAAAGAAGGTTATGGAGGAACTTCCTCTCTTGATGCGTTGAAGAAAGCTTCAGAATAACTGCTCGAGAACTTGCAGAGAAACTTAACCTCAGCAAATCAACTGAATGAAAAGGTAAAAAAGCTTGAAAGTTGGGTTCCATACACATTAAACGACTGCCAAAAAAACCAGCATTAAGAAGTTTGTGCTACACCTCTTTGCCAAAACAACAATGATCCTTTTCTGTCAAGAATTGTTACTTGTGATGAAAAGTGGATACTTTATAATAATAGTAGATGTTATGGACAGTGGCACGACAAAGGAGAAGCTGCAGAACTTTTTCCAAATCCCAACTCTTCAAAAAATTGTGATGATTATTGTTTGGTGGGCTTCATTTGGTTTCATACACTACAGCTTAAATCCTAGATAAACCATCAATGCCGAATCGAATTGTAACCAAATTAATGCAATGCATCAGAAATTGGCAATAATGAAGCTGTCTTTGGTCAATCGGAAGGGGTCCATTTTGTTGCATAACAACTCCCGGCCACATGTCTCACGTGTAACGTCACAAAAACTGTTGGAGCTTAGATATGATACTCTGCAATATCAGCCTCATCACTCTCCGGACCTCTCGCCTATAGAATGTCAGTTTTTTAGACACCTGGACCACAACTTTCGAGACAAAACATTTAATGAACAAAGGGAATAAGAAAATGTGTTTTTAGAGTTTATAAACTCTAAAGAGAGGAAATTCTATTCCGAGGGAATGGGAAAGTTGCCAACACATTGACAGAAATGTATTGATAGTAGTGGAGACTATTTTGATTAAATAAAACAGTTGTAAATCTTTCTTTTTAAACCAAAATCCTGCATTATTTTCCGGACAACCCAATATATGTTTTCATGAAAATAATTGTAGCAATCAGCAGCTTTTTTTGTTTTAAGCATGAATTTTATGATCAGAAACATTTAATTTGGACCAATTTCTGTAATAGAGATATTAGTTAAAAATACATTTTCATTATCACTTTATATCATAAATAATTTAAAAATCATTATTTTTTAACTTTTATTTAGGCAATTATGTTTATTATAATACATACCAGATCATGAACAAACAAGTTATAATTTATAACAACAATTTATTGTAGTCAATCTTGCTGAAAACAGAAATTTTTGGAAGACAGGATATGAAATCACATTTTTCTTTACAATCACATTACACAACTTGAGGTGAATCTCAAGTTTTTCCCTAATAAACCTCAACTTAATTAATATGAACTTAAAGCTTATTAAATGAGTAATAAGCTTTACTTTTAATTCTAAAATTGGGGTATCTGTAGTATAGATCCATTAAAATTCATTCTGAAAAATGTACCATTTTTGAGATGTATTGGAATTCTTGCCAAAAACATCCTAGGTGACACAGTAGCAATGGTGTACTTATCACATGTTTTTCTTCTGAGTCACCTAATATAATATAGATTTTTTATTTTTGTTTTTAACGTTTATTTTCTGTTTTTATTCTTTAGGATTGCTTAAAATAAAGAGCTGCAATATTGTCAATCCTGGAGATGTATAATTCTTGATTATTTCAAAAACTAATAAAAAGTAAACTGATTTCTATGGAAATCAGTTCAGCATCGCACTATCTTCACATATTATTTCTCAAAGGTGTTTTTTTGTCAGTATGACATGTCTTATTTAAATCTTCATTAAATCCAATTATTGATCCATTATTTAAAGGATTATCTTCTCCATCAGGTGCGAAAAATAAGTACATCTCCCAGAAAAGTCAGAAAAAAAGTTTTGAAGAAAAGGGAATTTTCTTTGCACATAACTCAAAAATTTAACAATTTGTGGTATATTTGTTGTTGTTATTTATCAAATTTGTCTGATAAACCTAAGGATATTTATATTTTCAAATAATACTAAAGCCACAGAAGTAAGCTTAAGTTAATAAAACTAAATAATATACTTAGTTATTTCTATTTTATTTTTCATTTCCTTTTATATGTTTTTTTTTTTTACCATTATTAAATGAGTAAGTATAAACAATTTACAGTTTCAGTTCAGTCAGTCAATATTAGATCTAGAATTTTAGTTGCGCAGATTCAAAATGCTTGTAGCCTGTTTGCATAAATAGCAGTTATCTTGACTGATTGTCATGTAGTTGCTGGAAGTTACCACTCATGAATTTGTTTCTGTGTTGTTATGTTGATATGATATACTTGACATACATTTCTTTAGCACTCATCAATAATATAAAAAATCATTGACTCGAAAAAGTTTCTTTTATACTTCTTTTTTATTGGTTTATATATTAATATCTTTTATAACAGTTCAAGTTAATGTATTCAATATTCTTATTTTTTTTAGTTCCAGTTTAATAGAAACATTAAATTGGAAATATCTAATTCCTGTTTCCCAAAGTATATTTGGACTATTAAAATAAACCATTAAAATTATTAATGTATAAATATAATAAAATAATATATAATAAATAATAAATCTTGGACTCAAAAAAATCTTGCTAAATTAATTAAGAATTAAAGCTTTAAAAAAAATGTAACATTAGTTTAAGTAAATTTTTAAAATAAAATAATTTCAATTCATTGTCTAAGTATTAGTGGGACTGGGAAAGTAATGTCGTTTCTATGCATGTCACTATTTGATACTCATTTGTCAGCTCATTGTGTACGTATAAGTTGTGGCAAAGACATTCTGTGGTTGTAGTGACTTGTTTAGTTGAAAATAATTAAATTTTTTTTGCAATTTTTGGTGGCTTTTTGAGCTTCACAAGAGTTTTTATGTTTATCCAAATGCATTAGGCGTTCATTAATGTCAAAGGTGCTTTTCTCATTTCAAATCCGGTAACTTCTATCTTTCCGACTAATATTAATCAAGAATACCAACAACTTTAGACAATGATGTGTTAAGGGTGGAAGTTGTAGCAAGTCTGTGTTAAACAATCGAGGAATTGTCAAACAGTTTTAAACTACCTTGGTGAACGATCAAAGAACATTTGCAGCAGTTTAAGAAACCACCACATGCAACAAATGCTTCAACAGCTCAATAGAGAAGTGTTTTTTGATCGCATTATCACCGGGGTCCTCTATAATAATCCAAAACTCAAAAGGCAGTGGCTCTCTCCAAATTAATCACCACAAAGTAGTGCTAAGCCAGGTTTACATCCCAAAAAGGTCATTTTTTGTCTTTGATGGTAGTTGCGAGGTTGTTCATTTTGAAGTGCTGAAACCTGGACAAATTGTGAATCATCATCATCCGTGGCGCCATAGCCCAGTTTGGACCTTGGCCTCTTCAATGAGCCTCCGCCATGTAGCTCGTCTTGTGCGGCCACTCTCCAGTTACGGACATTCAGAAGTTCTGTGGAATTCTTGATGACAGCATCCTCCCATCTCAGCCTTGACCTGTCACTTCCTCTGGTCCGATGCAGCCTACAGTCCAGCAACTTCCTCGGGATCTCATGCATCCTGACAACATGGTCAAGCCAGTGCAGCCTCCCCAGCCTTATGTACCGCATCACATCTCTCTCACCAAACAGTTGGTAGACCTCCCTGTTGGTTCGCCTTCTCCAATTCTCGCTTACCTTGACACCACCAAGTATTCGGCACAAAATTTTTCGCTCGAAGACCAAGATCTTTTCTTCAGCACTTGTCAGAGTCCAGGCTTCCGATCCGTAAGTGAGGATTGGCCGGATTTGTATTTTGTTGAGCTGGCATTTGGTGCGGTGAGTGACAACTCGACTCCTCAAGTGTTTCCTAAGTCTAAAATAGCATCTGTCGGCTTATTGAAACGTTGGTTTGTTTCCAGGGTGATCCTGTTATTGCTGCTGACCACTGAGCCTAAATAGGTGAACTAGTCTGCACATTCAAACGAAAATGGACCCATCTTCACCTTCCCTCCAACAGTAGCCACTACATCAGGTCCAGCTTGCATATATTTGGTTTTCTCTTGGTTCACCGTCATGCCCATTACTTCTGCTGCTTTAGCTAGCCTCAGAAATGCCTCCATCAGCACCTGAAAGGATCTCGCCACCAGGTCCAAGTCATTGGCAAATTGTGAATGCATACCTTAACTATGAACAATTGGATCATGTAAATCAATCTTAAATTGAAAAGAGACCATCAATTGTCAACAGAAAAGGCGTTATTCTTTTACACTATAATGCAAGACTGTACTGCACAAGATGAGCTCTTTGAAAAATTAATGAATTGGAAGGTAGTGCCTCACCCACCATACCAGCCCGATATAGGATCATCGCATTTTCCATTTATTCCGATCACTACTACATTTTGTAAGTAACAAAAGATTTGCAAATTTGGATGATATCCAAAATGCCATCTCTACATATTTTGCTTAAAAACCAATTGAATTTTATTGATCCGGTATTGAAAATTTGCACACTGGATGGCAAACAGTTGTTGATAATGAGGGTGATTACATCTTTGATTAAAAATAAAAACTTGTTAAAAGTCCATATGTTTGAATTTAATTTAAGAAAACGACATTACTTTCCGGTCCTCCTAATACTAATGTATGACTAAGAATTGTGGAATATAAGAATTAATCTGGTTGCTATTTGTGTTTTAACATTCAGATAGTACATAGTTTTGATCACAGTTGTTCAGTTACTATAAATTTTTATTACAATAGAAATAAAATGATGATTTATTAAGAATGATGATATTTTCAAAATAAATTTAAAATTACCAAAAATTCGTGTTACTAATCTATGACCTAATTAAAATATGTAAAGAAACTGTATACAGTCATTTAAAAAAAAATATATTTGTTGTTATAAATTGGTCCTTTCAGTTTTTTTTTCTAGTTTTTTTTGTAAATAACCCTGCATATAATTTTAATTTTGATGAAGATCCTACTGGATACTTTGTCATCCTGAACTTATCTGTGTAAATTATTTTAACTTGATTTTAATATAAAATATTTTCATTCTGGGAATTAAAGGCTTTCATTATATCTTATATCTCCCCCCCCCTTTTTTCCATGCTTCATCTCTATATATCTTTTTATTATAAGTGATAAATGTTTTAAGTTCTCATGGTTCAAAGCAGAATTTTTATTTAAAAACAGAAAATATTGTCTTCAATCATAATTCACTTTTGCTAAATGTATATCTATGTACTTTTCATTTTAATCAGTTTCAGAGTATTTAAAAGCATTGAAATGTATGCTGATTGAGTTGTATTTGGAAAAAAGGTTTTTGTTTTTTATGTGATTGTCATTATTATTTCTGTAAAATATTTAAGGCTTGTAGATTTAGCTACTTTATTTTATTGATTTGAGAATCAGTAGCATGTTTTGTTTTGCTTGCATGTTTATGTTATATATTTTTATTTTAGGCTTTCTGCTAAGTCACTGTTTAATTTACATATGAAAGGGCACACACAGAATAATCACCATCATGTTAAACACGGGTATGTTTAGGTTTTACTTTATTTTTATTTATTTTATTTTCTTAATTTTAGGATAAATTATTCCTTAAACATTTATCCTAATTATGGCAATAATTCAGGAAAAGACTCAATAAACGATATTGAAACTAAACTGATGTTATTTCTAGATCGTTAGTCATCGTTTAGAGTTTTTAAAGGCTTTATCTCACCAAATATTTTCATATATGTATTTTGCCATGCCAAGGTTTTATTTTGTATATTATAAGTTATTGATGTTCTAGTAAATCGAGCTGCCTGATAATTTAGAAGTTTTTTTTTTGTTTTTTTTATTGCAATTTAAAATTATCAATCTTAATTTACTATAGAATGATAAAATTAATTTACTTAAAATGGTTCTACAAGGTTTTTTGGTAAAGCTTTTGTTTTTAATATTTTTATTAGAAACATCATAATAACATATTATTGTGTATAAAATATTTTAGGCTGGTATAATTGTAAATATAACTTAATTCCATATAGATTTATTATTATAAAATTTCTCTATTATCATAATCGTGGACGTCCTTGTTCATGTTGTATATATGTAAAAATGAAAATAAATAAATTCACCTTTGCCTGAAAATTAGAAAATCACTTCTTTTTTCTTTTCTTTTTTAGTTTTCTTAAAATGTCTTATGTAAAAAAATCTTAAATTAAAATACAATTTGCATATTTTTTAACCTAATATTGTATGTACACAATTCTTTTATTTATTTTTCTTTAACCCTGAAAAAATTCCTTTAAATTCAAAAATTGTACTTCAATATATACTATGCACATACATATTTATGTCTTAGATGAAAATGCAGCATTTATTTATTTATTTACATATATATATATGCTCCATAAATTTAAAAAAAAAAACTTTTTCTTTATATTAAAGATATTCAACTGTATTTATTTTAGAAGAGTGGGTTTTGTTTTTAAAATAATTCTTTACCAACTATGCCATTTTTCTTAATTTCTTTCAGTTATTTAAAATTTTTATTTTTATGTAGTTCTGGAAAACAATATCTGATGTATTTTTTGTATGAATTATAACGATCTTAAATCTTCCTGGACCATTATTCACTGAGCTATAGGTCTTGTGGAAAAAGAAAATTGTTTACTTTTCCCTGTCATTTGTGGTTGTTGAATTATCTGGAGATGGTTAGGTTGCTTGCATAAGTGCTCAGTTTTATTTTCATTCATTTTTCATGACATCAGTTCTTTTAAGAAATATCTCATCAGAATCACTATTTATAAATTTACAAAAGAAAGTGTGGGTGAGTGTGGGGGTGTTGAGTATGAGATAAGAACGGGACAGAGATAATTGTTATTTGTTAATAGATTTTTGTTATAGATTGGTGCACCACAAATATAATTCGGAATTCTTTTTTTTTTTTACTCATATTTTATAAATTTAATCAAGTAATTAATAAATAAAACAGACAGAAATTTATATTGAATGTCACAGTTGTCTATCTTTTGAATTTATCTATCTTTTAGAATGAAGTACATTGATTGTTGTTGAATAGACAGAGTTAAAAGATTCCTCGTTGTTTTGATTATTTTCCCAAGTGATATTAGCTCCAGACACTGGGAAGCTTTGTAGTTGGTGAATCAACTTCCAAGACCTTGAACAAGCTTGAAAGAAGGGGAAACTGCTCCATGGGTGGGTAGTCAGTGTATTTTACTGGTGCAGTCAAGTTTGAAATTCAGTGCATTTAACATGTCTGGGGTAGAGAGGTATCTGATAACTAGGCATACATTTATATGTGTTTTCCAAATTTGGTGTTTACTACATCTTACTAAATTACTTACCAAAAATTAATAATAATGACATAATTTATTTTATTTTTTTTAAAGACTATACAGTTAATTAGTAAATAATGTTAGAAAAAAAATTAAAACAGAGTATAAATATTTTTAGTGAATTTAAACTTCTGTAATTATTTATTTATTAAGTTAAACTGCTCTAAGAAAATTTCTGACGTAGAACCAGGAAAGAGATATTATGAACTGATTGAACTCTATGTATTAGTAATTACCCTATAAAAAAAATAAAAATAAAATAATGCATCATAGAATAATAAATATGTAAAAAAATACATATGTCTGCTTGATGTTGGGGGTAATACCCCAAAACATCACAGTTTTTTGTTTTTTTAAAGTGATTTAGTTAAATAGATCAATAATTTTGGAAGTCTATATTCACCAAAAATCTGCATTATTCCTGATAACTAAGTCGTTGTATATTTATTTCTTCTTGTTTTCTAATTATTGTCCACAATATTTAATATTCATTTATCCTTCATAACAACTGGAGCTCGAACACAAGCTCAGATTTTTATATCATGGTGACATTCTTAGCATTTTTTTCTATTGTGTATTATCTGATGTTGTTTTCATTGTTTTGATTATAACTTACTATGTACTGTTTGCATTCGATGTTTCAGTTTTTCCTGATTAGAAACTAGTCTCTGATTACTCGCTCAAATGTTTTAAGGATTTCTCTATTCAAATATTTAACGCCAATAAAGTTGAATTTCATTTCCCAGCGCTCCCCTGTGTATTTTGAATATTTATTTGTTTACTCATTCTATTGATAGTTTCAATATTGAAGCTATTTACTTAGTTTAGTATCAGCTGATCAGAAAGAAAGTTGAATTTATATACATAGAATTAAATTATATTGTATATGTAAATCACTGTTATCCTCCTATTGTGAGTTGGCTTATTATATTTTTTAGGCTTTAAAATAGCTAAAAATAAACAAGCAAAACAAAGATTTATTTTGGTGAACAAAAACTATACCATACATTTATATATTAAAAGTAAACAATAATTAGTAGAGAAAATAAAATAAAAACATCATATTTGTACCTTTATCTTTTTTAAACTATCCTTCCTAATCCTGATGCCTGTTCTTTCGCTTTATTCTTTGACTATACCTGCTAATTTAATATTATACTTTTAATAATTGACAATAAATAGCCTCAGATAAGCAGATATGGAGTAGATTTTTAGGTTTAGGAGGCAAAAGATCTGCTAGGTTTGTAGTGCTAACAGAAAAAAAAAATAATAATAATTGGCAATATGTATGTGCACTTTCCTTAATCCTTTTTATTTATTTTCTAAAGCCATTATTTTGAGGTCATTTTTATTTCAGTGCCATTAACTATAAGCTTATTGCAAACAAAAGTAGTCTATTTAATTCTTTGGCATTTGTTTTGGATTGACTACCACACTTTTGTTCTTGTATTTTTTTAATGAATTGGAAATATTTGACTTAATTTTTAAAAGCTTCGTTCTTCTTCTAATATTACTCATTATGTTGGTTTTCAGTACATTAATTTCCTTTTACCTTCGAACTTCTGAAAAATATTTGAGGGCTATTGATTAGTTATAAAAGTATAGTAGGGCTGTAAGTAAATTTTTTTTAATGGAGAAACAGTGTTGTACATTATCTTGATATAGGATGGATTATTTTGAAATTTATCCGTGGCCAATAAAACAGAAGATAACATTCTTTGGAATATTTCATTAGCAAGATGATATATAACTGTTTAAAACTAATTATTAGATTTTGATTATGCTAGATTTTCTTACGTTATAGTTTTTAAAATTAATTACTTTTATTTATTTATTTTTAGTAATCATAACTTTTATGTAAAAAATACAGCAATATTCAGTAAAAATTAACTTTAATTAATTTACTCTATGAAATATAATAATAATAAATCAATTCACTTAATATTAATAAGGAAATTGGAAAAATGTTAATTAAAAAATATGATGTAATGTTTGGGAACATGTTGACTATTTGTAGTGATCATTTTTTTTCTCAATTTAATTTAATTAATTTTTAATTCAGTGCAGTTATATTAGGTAATTTATGTTTACCAGAACATTTTAATTGTTTCTGATATATTTAAATTTTTCTAGCATACTTTATTATATATTTTAAACCAGGCAAAACAGATATATCGTCGATTTATTACAAAAAGTCACTAAGTACATTTTTGATGGAGCTAAACTTTTGGGTGCATTTTTAGGAATTTTGACCTTTTTTAGAGGTGCAAAAGCACAATAAGTACAACAAAATGAGACAAGCCCTTTTCCCCAATTTTCTGATTTCACAGAGGAAGAATTGATCAAATTAGTTTTTTGATTTTATGAAATGACTTTTTACAATACATGCATGATATAATGGTGTAAAATATTATTTTTAGCATATAGCTAGGAATGTTATATTTTGTGTTTATTTTTTTTATTTTAAAAACTAAATATTTTATTAGGTGTGTAGAGTACAATGAGGAGGAGGGTAGCCTGCGGATGTACCTCCGTGGCCGGCCGGTAGTACTGTATGCTCCATCAAACTTAGTCGATACCTATGATGTTGCAAAAGTTGCAGCACCACCCCAACAGAGGCTAAAGCTGGAATGGGCGTATCCTTTTTTTAATGTTTTTTTTTTAATTATTTATTTTATAACATTATAAGATAAAATTGTATTTGTTAAATTTAAATATATGATTTCAGATATATATCCTGAATATTACAACACAAGCCATATAATTAAAATAGACTTTTGATATGATTATATTAAATATTTTGTTTAGCTTACTTGATTTGATAATTATGCTACACCATAATAATTAGAGTCATCAAACTAGTTTCAGTTTAACTTAATATCTGAATTTATGTAATTCAAATTGTTATATGTTCTGTGAGAATTATGCCCTTTATAATAATAAATGTTACAATTTAAATAAACCTATTAAGACTTCGAGAAAATATTCACCTTTACTTCTACAAAAGATCTTAAAGTTTAAGGGACTGTTTTGTACCATAAATGGGCCATGATGTCACTAAAAATTATTTGTCAAAGATAATTGTAGCTTTTCAACTGATCTTAACTGTCTCCAATTGTTTCCTGGACAGTTAGCTCAGGTATTTATCCTTTCTCAAGGATAGTTTTCTCCATAAAATTTATAGTCTGCCTCTTTCTTTTTCATTTATCTGTTCATTGTTTTTATTTTATTTATTTTTATTAGAATATTTGGACTCTATTAAATTTGAATTATTTTTATTAATTTATGCAATTAAAGCATTATTAATATATTTGTAAAATAATAGTTTGTATTATTCAGCAAAATATTTTTTCAATAAATAAAACATTTTTTTTTTTTTTTTAAATATTCACTGCACAAATAAGATTATTATTAAATTGTTAACCCTTCATTTATTTTTTTAAAATTTTATTATTTTATTATTGTCCGTAAGTAGTCTTAAGAACAATTTCAGATTTTCAACATAGAAGGGTTATTAAACCTTTCTGGACCAGCTCAGTTTTTTTCGTGTAACTTTAATAAAGCATTAATTTATGGATATCCTTAAATTTATGAAATACAGTAAGCTAAATAAGTGTAACATATTTATTAGTTTCAAAGCTTTTCAATCTAGGTCTTTGCCTTGAATGTTTATTTTATTTATTTATTTTTTTGTTTTGACAGCTCTAGATGTTTTAATAAATTTTTAATTTTAAATATTATTTTAGTTTTAATATTAGCATAATTCCAAGGGCATGAACTTATTGATTTATTTTTTTATTTTAATTTTTATTAGTTAAAATGCCAGTTATCTTAATTTTAAAAAAAAAAATCTAAATAGCCTCTTTTTCTCAACACTAATAATATGTTGTTGTTTTTTAGCTGCTTCTAGGCACTTAATTTTTTGTCCATAATTTAAAAACAATAATTAATTTTTTTTAAATATAAATTGTATCCTTAATCTATAATAATAGTTATGGATACCGTGGAAAAGATTGCCGAAATAATCTATATTTACTTCCAACTGGTGAAATGGTATATTTTGTAGCAGCTGTTGTAGTCCTTTATAATGTTGAAGAACAAACTCAAAGGCATTATTTGGGACACAATGACGACGTAAAGTGGTAAGTAAATATTTCATCTTTAACAATACATTTTTATCTTTATTATTATGACCAATTTCACTAAATTGTGGGATATTATATTTATAAAAAGAATACAGTTATCCTAAGACATGTGTTCTTATTTAGTCAGAATTCTTATTTAATCCATTCCTGAACATTTTTTTTTCCCAACCCTATGCATTTTACATTATGTCAATAACTAGTTAACTAGCAATGGGTGTGATAAGTCTTGACAATGTAGTAGTTTTATTAAATGAGTTATTTGAATAAAATCGAAAAGTTAGAGGATATCAAGTCATGGTCAACATTTTTTTATGTTCTCTTAGTAATGGTGACCTTGCATATAATAAGAAAGTAAAATATATTGTCACATCTCTCTTATATTTTACAAATGATAATATGACCTCATGGAAGATAGCTTTATACCGTTCGTATTTCAAAAGAAATAAGAGGTTATTAAATAATAAACAAAATTATAACTGTATTAATTTATTACACTAAACTTTATAATGATTTTATCTCAGATATACTGCCAATCAGATCAAAACACTCAGACAAACTAAAATTAACTATACTAAACACTGATTTTAAAATGAAGTCAAATATGGATTGGCAAGCTAACTTCCTTCTTTGTTGCACTAAATTCATTTATCTTCAAATACTTTCCAATCTTCTGCCAAACACAACTTCCAAGATGATAATACTATTAATGGACTTTTACCCACTGGAGCCAGGATCCCTTCTTCCATCCTCTCTTCACCCCAGCCAAACACCGACTTTTGCCAAAAAATATCCTTTGTTCTCTCCCCTTTGGATATCTTTGGGATTTTCTTTTTTGGAAAAACTACAGAGCAGTTATTTTCTTTTCCCAGAACTAGTATAACTAGATTAGCTTGCCTATTAACTGTTCAACATTAATTTATTAAACCCTTTTTACCCTCTTTCAATAAAGATGTACATTACAGTATCTTCATTTTATCATTTATTCATATATAAACAGGATGTTCCGTAAGTGGAGGGAAACTTTTATAAGAGTGGTAGCAGACCTTGAGATCTACAAAAAAGTTTTTATAAACAATGGCTCAATTCCCAACAGATAAGTAGAAAAATTCTAGATTTGTGATTTTTTACTGGTGTCACATTTTTTTTTAATAGAGAGCGATAACCACAAAAATATTTAATTGAAGTAATTAACAATGATTTCACAAAAACTAGATAAAATTTGTTTCAAATGAAATTAAAGTTTATCATTGTTGAAGCCATTGAAAGAGGACATTTGAGCAGCTAAACTAAATTAGCTCTGTTTTTAAAAAAAACATAAATTATTTGCGATTTTTTTTATCATTATCCAACCATACTACAGTTACCCCACTTTAAGAAAAACTACCACGTTTAAAAAGCTTTTAAGTCCATACTAATTAAGTTGAGGTTTATGAGGGAACCTCAAGTTGTGTAAAGAAATTATGTGATTTTCTATCCAGTCTCCTAAAGTTACCTGTGTTTCAGCAAAAATTACTATAATTAACTGTTACAAAGCTTTTATTTCTTGTTTTTTCATTATCTGGGATTTATTCTTATAGCAATAATTGCCTAAATATATATTTTGTTTATAATAATAATAATAAAAGGCTTAGCTAACCCGAAGATTCAATGCTGACACCACCAATCGCTTATTACATCCTCTCTGCACCGTTCGCCGTCCAAACCTAGTCCCTTCAGATCGCTTTTAATGCAATCTTCCCACCTTCGCTTCGGTCTACCTCTTGGACGTTTACCATTCGGTACAGCAAGTATTAACCTTTTAGGAATTCTCTAATTACTAAGCCACACAAGTTTACAAGCCCATTTGATTCACTGGGATGAAATCGCCTCAATTATATTACCCGGATACAGTCCATGCAATTCGCCATTGTGTAACCATCTGAACTCTCCGGTTAATTTACCCTTCTTCGTTCCGAATGTTCTACGCAATAGTTTATTTTCAAAAACCTTAAGACGTTGCTCATCCCTTAATGTAAGGGGCCATGTTTTGCATACATAAAGAACTTTAGGTAAGATAATGGTTTTATAGATTCTAATTTTTAAGTTCCGGAACAGGAGACACGAGCTAAGTAGTTTTGTCACAGAAAATTAACAAGCATTTCCTGCCTTCAGTCTAACCTTCATCTCTTCTTCAATTTCATTTTGTCTAGTTATTATAGACCCTTGATACCTAAACTTCTCAACCTCTTGAAACATATTACCATGTATATCGATATCACTAGTAATATATATTTTGTTTATAAAATTTAAAATAACGTTTTTTAGAATATTTTTAAGGTGAAGTGGTTATGAAATTGTGTTTTTCTTCCAAACCTCTGTCATAGAACTTAATCCGTATTTATAAGTGACAACCTTAATGTTTCTAGCTAGCCCTAATATTTACGTTTACATGAAAATAATTGAAGCAATCAGTAGGTTTCTTAACAACTATGTATGGTTGGAGCAACAATCCGTTAAGGGGTCTAGGCCTCCTCCAAAAGTCTCCACCAGTTGGCTCTATCTGTTGCAATAGCTCTTCAGTTCCTAGTGTCGAGGAGATTCTTTGTGTCAGCTGTGATGGAGATTGTCCACCTCACATTTGGCCTACCCACTCTTCGTTTGCCATGAAGCTCTTCAGCCAATGTCCTCTTAGGGATCTCGTCCTTCTTCTTCCTTGCCATGTGTCCCGCCCTTCAGAGTCTCCCAATCCTGATCCACTTGATGATGTGAGGATCTCTGTACAGCCTTAAGATTTCCTGGTTCTTCCTGCTTTTCCAGGTGTCTCCCTCTCAAACCGGGCCAAAAATTCTTCTCAATATCTTCCGTTTAAATACCAGAAGCAGGTTCTCACTGGCTTTAGTGAAGGTCCAAGTCTCTGGCCCATATGTATGAACCGGACTAATCAGGGTCATATATAGGCCGATCTTGGTCTTGTTGGAGAGGTGTCTGCTTTTGAAGTATTTTGCTAGCCCAAAATAGCTTTGATTGGCTGCGGCCATTCTCCGATTGATCTCCTATTATAGGTCATTCTTTGTTATTCTTCAGGATCATAACGGCCTCCTCAATTTCATCCTCGTCTGATGGTTCTGCATCGTTTGGGAGGTCTTCGGCCCTTGAGATGATGCTGGATTTCTCATCTGCATCATCTTGATGAAGGACTTTTCCAAAGTACTGTCTCCATCTCTCCAGGATTTCTCTCTTTTCCATCAGGAGATTTCCATCTATATCCTTGCAGGAGGTGACGCTCTGTTTAATAACCGACCTCCTTCATTCACCTTCTGCAAGAATAGCCTACTTTCATGAAGAGTTCTGTGGGTCTCAACGTCCTCCATTCTTTTGTTCTCCCATGTTCATTTCTTTATGCAGTGGATTTTCTTTTCTTCCCTCTTCCCTGTGATTCGCTGGGTTCGGTTGGTGTGTGGCAATTTATAATAGAGAGATTAAAGAATCTTCCTTTGATAAGCATATAACACGTTCAGGGGGGGGGGAGATAGGCTTGAACTTTAGGACTAGCTGGCGTGCCCTTCCTCTAACTACAAATCCCGTGTCAAAGGTGTGTTTGCTTTCATAGCAACTATAATATACTGTGGGGGATCTCTTTTCTAGCGAGCTGCATCCATGTCAGCGTACCTCCTGGAGTACCTGAAGGACTCCTGGTCTATGTAGGAATAAAATATTCCAATAAGCTAATCTTAGGTATCTTATGTATCTTTCTGTGCTTTGTAGAGGTTTCGTGATAGTTAAATTTTGGGGGAATGGGTTATTGGTCCACTGCCCGAGGTTTCTTTACTTGAAACATCAACTTAAGACTAAAAACATTTTGTTTGTCCCTGATACATGCGTCCCTATGACAGAAATATCTGGGAGAAAAACACAACATAACCACTTTATCTGAATTATTTTTATAAATAAAATATATTTTTCGGTACTTATTTTTATTAGAATATATCCCAGATCATGGACAAACAAGAAATAAAAGCTTTGTGACAGTTAATTATAGTCATTTTTACTGAAAACACGAGTACTTCTAGATAGAAAATCACATCATTTCTTTACAAAACTTGAGTTGAATTAAATTAAACCTTATTAAACGTGGTAGTTTTTCTTAAAGTGGGGTAACTGTAGTATAGTTGGATAATGAATAATTGGAAAAAAAAAAAATCGCGAATAATTTCTGATTTTTTTAAAAACAGAGCTTAATTTACTTTAGCCACTCAAATGTCCTCTTTAAATGGTTGTAATAATGGCAAATTCTCTTTTCAGTTAAATTAGTTTACAGTGAAGTAATTGTTAATTACTCAAATTAAATATTTCTTTAGTTATTGCTTCCTATTCAACAAAAAACGCAAAACTTTGATTTCCTACTTTTCTGCTGAAAATGGGCCCATTGTTTATATGAACTTTTTTGTAGCTTTTGAGGTCTGCTATCACTCCTATCAAAATTTCACACTACGGGAAAAATTTGAAGTAATTATATTTTAGCTTATGAAACAGGTAAAATTTGGACTATTATTTGAAATTTCTGGAGATGCTTGACTTCCGTTAACTCCTTACCACTAAGTAGGGAAATATGCATAGAAAATTAGCCACTTTAAGTTAGGGACTTGGAAATACAAATAATATTCAGACGTGTTCTCCAGAAGAATTATTTAGTCTGTTGAAGTGCGGTAATTGAAAATCCTGACTATACATCTTCCTAGATAATTTCCATTAAAAATAGTCAACGAAAACCCATTTCTGCATGAAATATAGTTAGGTACCTGTCATTGGTTTTAATGTAGTGACTGAACTGTTGATTTTAAAGGCTTACTTGTTAAGCTTTATAAACTAGTAATGTTTATTTTTAAAAACTTTTACTAAAGAATTAAAACAGTAGGAATAAATTTCAGAATGTAAATATTAGTTACAAAAATTAATAACAACTGTAATAGTGTAAAAATATTATTACTCATTTATTTTACTTTAAAACAAAATCTATGTGAATTATACACAGGCTTCGACAATTTTCCATTGTGTGTGTGTTGTGATTTGTAAATACATAATTTATTTTGTATTTTTTTAATGTATTCAGAAACATTTTTTCATTAATTTATTTACATTTTTTTTTAGCTTGGCTGTACACCCTAACCGAATGACACTGGCTAGCGGTCAAGCCTGTGGTCACGATGGAAGGGCCCATATCAGGGTGTGGGACTCTGTCAGTCTATCCACTATTGCTGTGGTTGGTCTGGGGGAAATTAATGCTTCAGTAGCCTGTCTCACATTCTCTAAAACAGTATGTATTACAACTTATCTGAGTTAAGATAATCATTATAGTGTAGCTTATTTACTTTAGAAGAATTACTCATCCTCCTTTTCTTTTTTTTTTCTTTCTGTTTTTATTAATTTCAATGGTTACTTTAATAATGTCTATTGTGTTTAAGGATGGTGGTACATACCTTTGTGCAATTGATGATGCCAATGAGCACAATATTTCAATCTGGGACTGGCAAAGAAGTGATAAAGGTGTGAAAATCACAGAAACTAAGGTAAAATATTATTTATCAGTTTAATTAATTGCCATTGCACTAAATATATTAACATATTCTTATACAATATAAAAATATATTATATTATCTATAATTATCCAATAGCAGAGTTATAGTTACTACAGTGTTCCTTCTAAAAACAGATATCTTGATTTACCTAAAATTACCCAAGCTGTAAAGTGTTCTTCCTAAAAACAGATATCTTGATTTAGCTACAATTATCCAAGCTATAGGTTATTATATTATTAATCATTAAATATCAGCAGAAAAGATATAGGATACCCAAAGGTTCTATCTGATTATCTCCAGTAGTCCTTGTCATAGGCGCAGATGGAACGAGAATATCATTTCGCCCCCCACCCCCTATATTTCGAAGAATGAAAATCAGTAACAATTAATCTACATGAACGGATAAAATATGCAAAACTAAAATCAATTAAGAAAATAGGAAAAATTGTCTAGATGGCTAAGCTAAGGCCTAAAAGTAGGTATGCAAGTATTTTACCTCGCCGTATATTCCTGTTATTGAAATTTCAGTTTATATTTAAAGATAATTCTATAATTACTTCCTAGATTTTATTATTCATTAATGTGCATCCTTCCATTTTTATTTAAAGATTGTATCACATTTCCTGTGGCAAATGTGAAGCATAAAAGAATTGAGAGTTCATTTCACTGCCTTAAACATAATATTATATATATTATAATATATTTAATTAATTTTTTGATATATCTTCAAATCTAACCAAATACTAAAAAAAACAAAACAACTAATATATCAGCATATATATATAAAAATTTATTTTCATATTTAGTTTTAACATAATTATTTTGATTATCACTCATAATTTTTATACATAATATAAACACCCGAGACTTTATTAGGAGGATCCATCGCCTGCAATCAGAAATAGCACCCCTTGTCTGGTTAATTGAAAGTCTGGTCCTAGCTTGTTTATGTCTCTCCCCTGAATTATGTCTCAACTCTAATACTAAAAATTGTTAATCTTAATTAGATGAAATATTTAAATATATTGTATTCAAATAGATGAAACTAACTAATTGATCTACAATATTTGTTTCTATATGTTTTAATTAATTTGTATCTATCTATATTATGAAACTCTTTCAGATATAATAAAGTTTTACAATACATTTTAACTTAGCTTTAGTTTAACAGTGACTTGATTCAGAATTGTCTATTTCTTATTGATTACCAGTTGTGTTAATATATAGAGTTGTGTTAAAGTAATCATCAATACTTTTAATTGCAGAAAATTGGATATATAAACTATCTTTGCTCCTACATTAATATTTTGTCTTCTTTCATTACAAATTATTGGGTAAATAGAACATTCTGTAGAAATGTGAAAAACCTTTGACTTTCAAAGCCTTAGAAACTTGGCAATATTAATAATTTCTTGAATAATATTAACAAACTCCAAAACTCTTTGTCTGCTTTCTTTTTGTGAAAAAAAAAAGAGTAAATCTCAGGATTTCTAGATAGTTAACATAGATTTTATTATTATATTATATTCCATCATTTTTTATAATTTATTAAAATTGTAAATCAAATAAATCAAGTTTATGCTCCTCAGTGTTCTGTAGATACCGTGGTTGGTTGTGAGTGGCATCCCCTGGATAAAGGAAGCATCGTGACTTGTGGCAAAGGTCACATCTCCTTTTGGTCTCTTGACCAAAGTGGTGCACTCTATAAGCGTCTTGGAGTCTTTGCTAGTCGAGAGAAGCCAAAATATGTTACCTGTCTTGCCTTTACTCACACTGGTGATGTCCTTTCTGGTGATTCAAATGGCAACATCATCATTTGGGGACGAGGTATGATATTGCTGTAATCAATAACTCATTAATAGTTACTCATTTACACCATTATAAAACTATAGTATATTTTATTGTAAACCATGTAATTATTTTAGTAGGAAACATTATTCTGATTTTTAAAATTTGTTTAATAAAATTAAAACCAAACAGTTATGGGCGTGGAGTCATCAATATCAATGAAACTTTTTTTGGTGACAATAGGTCAACAAATATTAGCTCTTGTCCGAGGCCTCTTTCAGCCAAGAAAAAAAAATGTTTTATAAAATTTTATTATTTTTTGTATTACTGTTTTCCAACTTTGCTCTACATGGATATCAAAGTTATTATATTTCAATTGATTGATTTTTTTTTTTTTTTTTTTATGTAAAATATGAAAAACATATTGCTAATTGTACTAAATTAATTCTATTGTATAACTTTTTTTTTCATGGCATTTACCGAAATGTTCATAACTCCTCAGGATTTTCTCCTAAGTTAACATTACTACAGTCATTGGATAGCTAAATTATTGAAATTCAAAACCATATTCATAATGTTTAGATTTGACATCTTTATAAGGAATAAATAATGGAAAACTTCCGTAATATTTTTATTTTTTATCTCAAAGCCTAATTTATTTGTGGGTGTCTGGTTTGTGCTATTTCATGTATATTATAGGGTCCTAAATTCATGCCAATTTTAATATATGTTAGTTGAGCAAAGTATATTTACTTTTCTAATTCAATGAAAATTTTCTCAACATTTAACTATTGTTATTGTTGTTTATTTAATTTAACAGTATGTTAAATCTACTGTTAAGTTATTAGCATAGATGGATCTCATAAGACCTATTAATATAAGGCAGAATATTGAGGAAAAAATTTTTATTTTTCAATCGCAACTTGAAGTTCTTATTAAAGAGTTTTTATAGGTGTCAAAAACGAATATCAACTTTGTTTATCCCAAAAAAATATATTTCATGGTCTAATATGTGTATAACGTGTACAATACAAGTTTTATTCTTATTTTATGATCGAATCTCAACAAATTACCAGATTTTGTGCATGTAATCTTACCTTTAGTACCTGTTCGGTATAAAAAAATATATATATTTGCCTTACAGCTATAGTATGAATACAATATTAGAAAAAATAGTTATGACCTAAGGAGTAAAGTGGATTAAAATATTTTTTTAAGGAGACAAAAAGTTGAGGTTTCTATTTCGTACCTTGAAAAGCCCTTAAGTACTAACTTTCATACTAACTGAAAAATAAAAATTTTTTACTCAAAATTTCTGCTAGCTGAAGCCTTAAATTTTTGTTTGAAAATCATGAAAATTGTGATACCTTCGACATGGCTTCACTTATGCAGACGAAAAAAATTGGCTTGAATTAAGGGTCCTATAATTTATACAAAATGACAAAAGTCAGACGCCCACAAATAAATTAGGCTTCAAAATAAAAAAATTAAAATGTTCGGGAAGTTTTTCTTGTTTTTCCATATACAGGCATAAAATCTAAAAAATATGGTTTTGAAGAGCAATTATTTAACATTGCTATGGTGGTAGTAGCTTTGACTTAAAAGAAAATCCTGAGGAGTTATGAATATTTTAGTTAATAACATTAAAAAAATCCCCCCCCTTCTCTAAAATGAAGTCAAAAAATTTATATTTTTTTATTTCAAAACAAACTCATATTTAAGAGTTTAAATGGACACTATAAATGAATCTGAATCATTATTTCTTGACAAACATTTACTTGATCTACTTATTGGAAGCGTTTTTGTAATTTATTAAACATTAGAATTTGCTTAATACAATTAGTAATATGTTTTTCATATTTTACAAAAAAAAATAAAAAACAATTAATATGATATGTAATAACTTAGATATCTATTCAGAATATAGTCAGAAAACAGTAGTATAAAAAAATTATAAAATATTTTTTCTCGACTCCTAGGTTATATTAGCAGGACCCCTCGGTTGTGGATCTAATATTTTTTGACCTATTATTACCAAAATCTCATGTCCGCAACCTCCCCTTGTATTTCTGAATTCATCACTGAAATTAATTGAATAGAATCATTTTAGTATTATTGAAGGAAGTTAGTCGACTGTTCTACTTATCATGGGTGATAAATATTCAGGACGCAGTCATTATAAAGTTTTTATTAGTGTTGACATTTCAACCCAAACATTTATTTATTTATTTATTTATTTACTAAGTTATTAGTAATAGTATGAGTTATTAGTAAGCAGTACTTGAATACCTTCAGTGCTTGAACCCACGCCCTGATGATGACCCACATGTTTGGGTTGGAGCGTCGCCACTAATAAAAACTTTATAATGACTGCGTTCTGAATATTTATCACCCAAGAATCATTTTAGTTATTACAAATTACAAAATAGTAATGGACTAAAACTTTTTTTTATATAAACAACTTTTTTATTTCCTGCTTTATATGCTTTATTAATACTAATTAATTGTTTATAGGCACAAATTCCATAGCAAAGATGGTGTTAAAGATCCACGATGGTCCTATTTTCTGTCTTTGCGTTTTAAAAGATGGAAGTATTGTCTCTGGAGGGGGTAAAGATGGAGTTATTAAGCAATTAGATAACAATCTGGAACCAACCGGATATGAAACAAGGGTAAAAATAAAGTTTATATCTTATTTAATGTTTTTTTTTTCTTAATAAAATTTTAATTTAAATTCGATGAAATTTTCATTTTTAAGAACAGAAGTCAATTTATACCTTCTGTAATAAGGCTTTTGAAAATAATTCTACATCAATTTGTTATTTGTTGTTTAATTTATTTGTAATTTTTTAATGCTGTCTAATAAATTAATATAAATTCTTTTAAAATAACACTAAAAAAAATATTACTTATTTCCAATTCATCCAATCTCCTAATTCACAAATAAAAAAACCTGGTGCTTCTTTAATTTGATGTATAATGGTAATTAGTTTAGGATTATTTCCAGTTTATCTTGAAACTGAAGTTAATCATTTTATTTGAGAATAATAATTCTTGAGGTGAGGTGGGTTGAAAGTAATATGAAATTTAATTTAATTTCATTGAAATTAATATAGAATCAACTTTACTTTTGTGTCAGATTAATTTTATATTCATTTCTTATTTAATTATTTTGAATATTTTTTGCATTAAATATTCTTGTTATTTTCAAAGATTGCTGGGCACTTGGGAGGTGTTAGGACAGTCGCTCAAGGAAGAGGACCACAACTACTGGTTGGATCTACCAAGAACTGTATCTTGTCAGGATCATTTGATCTTGGGTTCTCCGATGTTGTGCTCGGACATACTTCTGAAGTGTGGGCTTTAGCGGCCCATCCTTCATTGCAACAATTTGTCACTGCAGGATGGGACTCTATACTCCAGCTTTGGGATAGTATGTCTCGCACTGTGGTCTGGAGCAAAGATATTGGGGTGAGGCAAAAAAATATTACTTCTGTGTTAACCTTAAATCTTAGTCATTACTTTCTTCTTTTTAATGTTCTTTTGTTTGAATAATTTAAATATTGAATACATTTAGTACACCAATTATCTGGAAATGAAGTTTATTGGGAAAGGATTAAAAACAATAATTAAGATTTAGTTTACTAAAATGTTTAAAGAAGTGGAATTGGATTGGACAAATCTTCATGAAAGAACCATGATGGATCAATAAAATAAAGCAAGACATTGCACGAGGACTGAAGCTTACTTGTCTGGATAATTGGGACAAGTTTTGTTATGTTTTTTACATTATTAATTATTGAGTTGATTTAATTCATTTGGACTTTTCTTTTATAATTAGTTAAGTATTAGGCAAGTTAAAATTTTTGCAACATGATAAATGTTAACCCTCAAACAAATATCATTTTTGCCTGTTTCTCTAATCCAATCTGTCTGTTTCCTCTTGAAAAAAATCTGGTGCACGCAATACACAACTTTCACTTACTGCTCTACAGAAATTATTTTCTGGCAATTCTGGACTATTATAAAATTTTTGAAGTGCATTTTATATGAAGCTAAATCTTAAATCTTACAGATAACAAGTCATTAAGACCATTATAATTACAAAAAGTCTATTTATTATATCAACGGTACGCAATAAAAATCTAGTCACACCATCTGCTTTTATAAACTACACATCAATTTCTGAGCTTTTCAGTTGAAAGAATGACTAACTCCAATTTCAACATTTTTGAGTAATGACATTTTAGTGATATTTTTAGTTGAAAATTTTATCTATACAGACAGTTAGTAAGTTGATTCCGGAGGAGATGATTACAGTGTTGAAATATAGAACTGTGAATAAAGGTATAAATTTAGCTACTAGAAACATCACTAAAATTAATAATGAAGAATGTTAAAATTGGAGTTAGTCATTCTGTCAACCGAAAGGCTCATATATGCATACAGACGTTTGAAAGTATATCTGAATATTTAACCTATAAATGATTATGGATCGTAGGTAGGACTATTAGTAGTGTTGCGCGAAATCGGTCTTGGTCTTGCACTTTGCAAGACCAAGACCAAGACTGGTACCAATAAAACGATTTTTTAAATAAAAATTGAGGCAAAATAGTTACTAATACTTGACAATTTTAGTTACTATTTGTAAAGAATTTGTGTAACCTATATACTTTTGCATTCAACTCTTTTAATTTTACATTCAGACTTAGTTAGGTTTCTCATATCTATAAAATTACTGTAATATCTCTCTAGTAGTCAGCTAATAGGTAACTGCAATACGAGGGTCTTGCGCAAGACCAAGACTAGTCTCGGTCTCGCATTTGGGCAACACTAACTATTATTTATTAAGCTGTTATTTTCCATTGTAAAGTTTACTAAAACAAAATTATGAGATTTTCATTGCCTTGCCATGGATAGGTCAAAAGTTGTCTCACTACTAATTGTAAGAGGATAATGTGGCGATTTCACAAAGGGAAAATTCATCAAATTATTCACTAATTTAATTTTCTAAAAAGTTGCATGACAATATTTCGGAATAAACGGCGGGTAGATACCTAATTATTTAAATATGATATCTTATCTAGAGTTAATACTCTATAGTAAATATATTTGAGGTTATAAACATATTCATTAAATGTTTTCATATTTCACTTCACTTTTCACACAAGTACTATGAAATAGTATTTTAAACAATGGCATTGGCTTGATTCGGTGGATTTTAAATACTTTTTTTCAATGTAGTAGTAAAATATAGTAGGAAAATTTCATTTAATTTCCTTGAAAACATGTGATTTACATTAAAAATATTAGTTTAAAAAAAATATTATTTATAATTTTTTCGCAGCTCTCCGTTATCTTTCACAACTTTCTATATTAGATATTGTTTTTTTCTAAAATTCTCCGCTTTCCAACGATATATTATACATATAACTTCTGACTAGTATTTCCGGAGATTCATTTTCGAACTCGACAAGCATTTTTATTTTTTTCTCCTTTATTCAATTATCAAATTCTTTCAAAAGATATATTTAGCATTTTTTCGTAACTTTTAATAATGTGAGATGACTAATTGTTTAAAATAAACCATATTAAAGGTACTTTAGAGAAAGCCGCATATGAACATTGGGCATTTAAGCCCTGTAAAGTGACATCAATGGGGATATACCTGATTAATATTAAAGACCATTTAAGGATACAATAATACACCGAGTTTAATCAAAATCGTTAGAGCCCTTTTTAAGAAAATTCTAAAAATGTGTTTCAGCGTTGATATAAAGTGGCACTTCCGGTTAGCCGATTTTAAGGGAAAAGTTGCCAGGACATCTAAGGCATATACCTATCCTTAATACGTAATATCAGTTTCTTACGACTTTTCGTTTTTGAGTTAGAGTGTTCACATACACACAGACCATTTTTCGGGACTTGGTTATTTGGACTCAGGGTACCTCAAAATGTGTATTTCCGTTGAAAACTCAGATTAGAAAATTTTTACGATCGCAATACTTACCCTTACTATATATTACATATTTAGGTAAGTGAAATTAAAAAATAGTCGTCAAATATGGCTGATATCATTTACTTTAAATTCAGTGTCATGTATCTCAGACATTCAGTTAACAATTTTTATTTATTTAATATTCTTAAACTGTGGTTTTATTCATTATATGAAAATATTTTGTAGGAAGAGGGCCAAAGTGCTTGTTTTTCACCTGATGGTCAATCTATTGTTGTTGGCTGCTCAACTGGTAAATGGCTCCATGTCGATGCTGATAGCAGAGAAATTCTAACTTCACACACTGATGGATCAGAACCAATACAGGTGTTAAAACACTCTGAAGAATATTTTTTATTTATAGATAACATTTTTAAAAAATATAACTTACAGCGATTATTTGTCTTTGTTCTCCATTTGAATCTTAAAAGAAAAAAATATTGCTTTTATTCCAGATTTTTTTTTAAAACTAAGTTCTTCAAATTTATAAATAATAGTTTGGGTATGACTTATTTTCTAATCTTAAATATTTATTTCAATCAAATTAATGATGCTGATGATTTGGTACTGTTAAGCGAAGACATGGAAACAATAAAACTAAATACAAAAATGTTGATGGAAACTGGTAAAGAACTAGGACTCGAGATAAACACGGATAAGACAAAATATATGGTTAGCTGCAAAAATAGTGACAATTTCGATGATATCGATATAGAAGGGAATGTATTTGAACCCGTACAGAATTTTAGGTATCTAGGGTCGACGATAACTAGAAAAAACAAAATTGAAGAGGATTTTAAGGTTGGTCTGAAGGTGGGAAATGCTTGTTATTTTTCTTTGTAAAAATTACTTAGTTCTCGCCTCCTGTCCCGAAACTTAAAAATTAGAATTTACAAAACGATTATCCTTCCTACAGTCCTTTATGGATGCGAAACGTGGCCGCTTACATTAAGGAATGAACAACGGCTTAAAGTTTTTGAAAATAAAGTATTGCACAGAATATTCAGACCGAAAAAGGACAAGTCAACCGGAGAATTTAGGCACTTACACAATGCTGAATTGCGTGAACGGTATCCCGTTAATATAATTGAAGTGATTAAGTTGAGACAAATAAAATGGGCATGTAAAATTGCTGGGCTCAGTAACAAAAGAATTCCTAAAAAGTTAATATGCGCTGTACCGACTCGCAAGCGTCCGAGGGGAAGACCAAAGCGAAGGTGGGTAGATTGCGTTAAGGCTGATTTGGCGGGGTTGGGTTTAGACAGAGCCCTGTGGATGGAAGAATGTGGACATTGATTGGTGGTATTGGCATCGAACCTTCGGGTTCGCTAAGCCTTATTATTATTAATCAAACTAATGAGCAAAATATTTCAAACAATTTTAAATTGTATAATTTTGTTTTGATTTAGTTCAGGGAAGTATGTATAATAAGTATTTACTTAACACTTATAAAATCTAAATTATTCATTTTTCCTTCTAGGTTGTTAGCTTTTCTCCTAACTGCGAAATGTTGGCTCTTGGTTCCCGTGACAACAATATTTACATTTACCAGCTAGGAACTTCTGCTGGAAAATATAGTCGAATAGGTCGATGCACAGTGAGTGGTTTTATCTTAATCTTTTAGTTTAATCTTTTTTCTGATGATGTAAAAAATTAAAAGCTTATTTTCTGTTTCCTTGTCTCTATCAATATAATTATTTTTTAAATTTTATCAGTTTAAAATTAGTTGTAAACGGAAATCAATTTTCATTACTATTTTAGGAAACAAGAAATCTGATATTCCTAATCGGTGTTATTTCATCAATTTTTCTTTTTCACTATTATTTTTAATAATGTGGTTAAATCTCTATTTATCAAACTTCCATTTATCTAAATATTTATATATTAAACTCAGTACAAATCCTAACTCGTTCAGGTTCAACTCATCTGCAGGATTAAAAATTAAAATTTCTGTTTAGATATAAAGAATAAATTGACATCATAATTATGGCTTTACAACTCCTGGTATATTTTAAAAATATTCGTTTAACTTGAAAAAAGTATCTATGATTGGTGTATAGAGGTATGACTTTATATGTAAAATACATACACATATATGTATATATATATATATATATATATATATATATATATATATATATATATATATATATATATATTTCATATTGTATCATATACTATTTATTAGCTTCTTGTTCATCGTACATATTAATATCTTGTATATTATTTTTTTCTATGAAATGTCATTACATTTTCCTTTATCTGTCTCTTTGCTGAAAGCTTTTGTTTTTGTATAATTTACATTTATAAATAAAATATTTTAATTTGAAAATTTGTTGTCACAGTTATGGATCTGTAATTATTGTTCATTATTGGCTGGATGCTCTATGTTGTGCCATTTTCTTATATTTTTTTGGTTGAATTGTTTTTGGTTTTTCTTGTTTTTATTAAATTAAAGCAAATCTTCACAGTTAGTTCTTCCATCAATTATCTGTTATTTAACATTGCAGTTTTGTTGATATTTTAGTCTAAAGTAGATGATTCACAAATAAAATTATCTACTAAAAGCCATTGCTATTCCAAGAGAATTTATCAAAGGTACTTAACATGCTCACATACAAGTAAATTAATTAAATGTAGTTATTATCTTCTGTACTTGGGAATCTTATTTGACATGTGATTTTGAATCATCATTATCAGCAGGACAAATACTTAATAGTTTGTGTAGTTAATCAGATTGCTTTCTTTCATATTCTTCTTTATTGATGCTTATAATCTTCCCATAAGTTCATTTAAAATTATATTTGGAATTAATTTGATCCTATTGATTATGGAGGCCATATGGCAACAAGCTTTCTGCTGTTTAATTTATTTCATTACAGTTTATAGGTGTGTGTCTGTGTATCTCAAATTTGTCCACAGAATTAGTAAAAATTAAATAAATAGTTTTTGCTTTGAATGAGATAGGTTTCATATGCATTGCATATACAATATACCTTTACTGGTACTTCATTTTGCATTTTAAGATGTACCAAGTATCTTTTTTGGTAGGAGTGGAATTCCAGAATTTAGTACTGTTTGGATTTATTTTCTCTTTTTTCGATTCATTTAATGATCTTAAAAAAAAAAAAATGAAAGAATTCAAAATTTCACTTGATTTATTTATTTTTTTCTAAAGTTCTATAATTTTTCTCATAAATTTTTTCATAATTTATTCCATAAACATATTCCAGTTGTTATTAAAGAAACTTTATTATTTATTGCTGACTAGACGGAGAAACGGAAGAGGAAAACAACACCAACCTTGATCTCCCTATTGGTGGGTTTAATTCCTTTGTAGCTTTTCCCTGTTTGTTTTGTGATTTAACCCAAGTTCAGTTTTTTTGTCCTGTTTATTGATTTTGTTTTGTTTTTTGTTATTGTTTAAATTTGTTTGTTATACTGTTTTTATTTTATTTTTAGTTGGTGTTATCATGATTTACTTTTTAGTTTGATATATAATTTTTTGTTTGTTTGATTCTTGTCTTAAATCCTCGTTATTTTTTAACTTCTGTTTTCACTCATGCATGCTTTGCTTATGTCTGAATTTGGGAATGATATTTAATCTTGCAGCCTCTTCTGATTACTAAATTTAATGTTAAATCATGCAATTTTATTTTTCTCATGTCTTTTATACTTATTAAGAGGCTTTGCTATTGTTATGCACATACGTTATTCAATTTAATTTGTCTCAAAGGTAAAACGGGAATATATATTACTTGTTTCTAACAATACTTAATAATTGGTCATAACCTTGTTTTTTATGTTGGCTGGTGTGTTAAATCAAATTTAATTTAATGAAAACAGTTTGCACAGTTCATTTCTTCTAAGGAAGAAAGTCCATGTTATGTTTGAATATTAACTTCAATTATAATATGCTTTTGATCCTTTTTTCTATTTTGGCTTAGTTACTAAATAACCTGATATACCTATATTGTTTGTTTAATATTATGATAAAAGATATTAACAGTAAAACAAAACAATTACAATCAACGACAGCAAATATTTATTAAATAATGAAATAAAGGAAAGTAAAATATTTTTATTTTTTATGTCTTTGAATAAAACAAGTATGATTATTAATTCTAAAAATAAAATAGTGTTTTTCTTTACATTTGTTACGTTTACTATAATTTTAAAGTAAGAAATTAAAAAAACAATGATTTATAATAACCAATAAGAAGTAAAATAGACTTTTATTCAGTTACATAAATGAAAATAAAATATATAAATTTAAAAAACAAAATTAGTATCTTAAAAAAGTTCTTTATATTGAATTATTAAATCATGAAGTTCAACCTTGTTTTTGTCATATGAAAAGAAAGAATTTTGCATGTTACAAAATCTCCTTCAACATTTACTGTAGTATTTTAATGTGCACTCTAAATCAAGCGTGCCCAACCTTTTTATGAAGCCTGCTTTCAAAGATTTCCACATTTAAATGTACCACAGCTGTACCTCCTCTCCTCCCTATTACTCTGCCATCTTCACGATAAATAAATTATTTACAGATTATTTAAAAATGAACTACTTCTAAGTAGTATAGATGGTTGTATTTACAAATGTTTTTCACCTTTGTAAATTTTAAGAATATATTTAATTATATTACACATGAATGAATTTTATCTCTTCATATTTAAGTTTAATTACAACACACGGAACTTCTTGGCCTTCCCAATAGTTATTTTCAAGTACCAAAGCTGAAATTCACAAAAATTATATATTAATAAACACAATTATTATTAATATTAATAATACATTAATAACATTAAATTATTAATGTTACAATATCCATTTCAGTAAGGTAATGTAGTTTTGAATAAAAAGTTTGAAAAGGTCGATAGAATCCAAATGCATGTGCACCTTCAGAAAAATATTTGGACAACTGCTCTGAAAATGTTGGCAAAGTGAATGAATTAGTAATGGCATGATAATCCTATCTGCGGTTATAAGAGTAATACTAATTTATATTTTATGTTTTATTTTGCAACCTTATTATAAATAATAATTGTTTGTGTATAATACTTTATAATTATGTTTACTTATTTATTTACTACAAAAGTACTTATCTTCAAAAAATATTTCAGATTAATGTTTCAGAAAAAATGTGATGACTTATATTTTTAGTTTAATGTTGAAATAATAATAGGTGTTCTTATGTAACTCTGATCTTAATTTTCTATTATTATAACTTTGTGATTATTGAAAAATATGGTGGTGGTTTATTTATTCAATTATTTTATTTATAGCTTTTGTTTACCTAGTTTGAGTATTCTCTTTGACACTTTTATTTAAACACCTTTCCTTTATTCTTCTGAGAAGTATATGTGATATTTGATATGATTTTCTATCAATAATGTCCAATAATAGCTATGTTCTCTTTTATGAATGCTAAAGCAGATAGCATTCAATAATTAGTATTAAAATTAGGGCAATATGAAATTATTTATAATATATTACTGTTTACAATCTTCGATATGTTGAAATATTTATCCTGCATGCCATTTTAGTTTTATTTATCATCCTTTCTACAAATAATATATATTTTTTATTTGTTTTCTCTATATTTATTTTAAATTCTAATTCTTTACAAGCATCCACTTAGGTTGTAGTAATTAATTTTGAAATGAAATATAAGTTAATCTATTTAATTCTTAGTATATTGTCGATAATATTTCATTATAATATTTATGTACTTAAAGTATTTTATTTTTAATTGAAGAAAAGTACTTCAAAGTTTGTAAATTAATCCAAATTATTATTAATATATTTCTATCTTGAACTTCTAGGGTCATTCTAGCTTCATTACTCACTTAGATTGGTCTATGGATAGTCAGTACTTGCGATCGAATTCAGGCGACTATGAAGTCTTATATTGTAAGTACGACTGTGTTATATTTATTTTGATGTGGAAATATTTGTGTTATAATATTCTTAGTTTTAATAATAATGATATGACTTTACACATCCTAGAGGTTAGATATTGATACCTCTAATTCAGGTTCTGTTATTTACGATCATAAAAATAACAATCATCTTCCCTTTTTCCTTCCATCTTAAATTTTGTTTCTTTTAAGTATTTTAGACTCCATATACTTAAACTTCTTCACAAAGTCATTCCTCCTTATTTGTAAATCTCCAAAATTATCACCATTTTTACAAATAATATATACTCCGTGTTTAATTTACAATATAATTCTTTATAAGCATCCATCAAGGTTGCAATAATTAATTTGATGGCTTCTATATTATTAATCAAAGGAGTATTGTGAAATTGGTGTTTTTTTATTTTTTTACCTTCACATATATATATATAAATATTTAATAATTTTCTGCCTATCTCCCTCTTGTGTAAGAGGGAGATGGTTATCCAACTACCATCTTATTCTCATCAACCAACCAACCTATCTTACTATAGGTAGAATAGGATGGCGACTGACCTGGAAAAATGGGAAAAGTCATAGAATTTTCAATACAGGGAGAAGTCAAAGAATGTTTTAGTTCGTAAATTTTTTTCAAATCGGAAATAAATATACGTGGATGTCGTTTATAACGACCTTAAGGGAACTTTGTTGTTATAAATGTATAATTGTTATAACGATGACAGTTGCTCTATCTATCCACCTGTGACTTGTCAATAACGCCCCTGTTAGTTGTATTGAAATTAAACAAGGGACTTTAAAATGCATTTTGGTCCTTAATTTTTTTATCATTGTTATGTATATTGAAGTCTCTCATGCCGGCAGATTATGTAAAATCTATGTAGTTTTTCTTGTTTCCTGTTCACTATTTATTTGAGTGTCAAGCTAAAAATAAACTTTAAACGATTTTATGGAAATTCTATTTAGTTTCCATGAACATATTTATTTTAAATTAAATAATATAAAAATAGAAATTATTAACTACAATTATGATTTATCATATATCATCATCACTTTCAATTATGTTCTATAATTTTATGTATTGGATTTTCATTTTTGTAAAATCATTAGCTTTCCAACAGTATATTATACATCAATAGTACTACTCTTATTCCTATAAATTTGTATTCAAACTAAGATTTTTTCAATTCCGAGAATTTTGCAGTAAAAATTAATTTTTATATTATTCGTTATTATATTGCTTTAACTCTCTATACATCTAAATACATACATATATATACATACATACATATATATATATATATATATATATATATATATATATATATATATATATATATATATATATATATATATATGTATATATATATATATATATATATATATATATATATATATATATATATTCATACATATATATACATACATACATACAATAAGGTGTATTATAAAAATAATTTTTTCTGCAAATTCTCAGAATTGACGTATAAAGTTATAGTCAACCTAACATTTGAACCATTGAAGATAAACTAGTAAAATCATATATATTTTTTTGAACGAAGCAGCCAATAGTTTGTTAGCTAGTCAATTACAGTAAAAACATGAGGTAAAATTGTTTTTCCCACATTAGCGATAGTTCGGTAACTAAGCGAGATAGAGAAAAATGGTATATAATTAATCATATTGAAAATTTTATTAGCTTTAATAAAATTGACTGGACTACTGGGCCATCTCGCCTCACAGTTGATATCGTATGGATAATTATTGTTCTGTTTGTGGCAATAAAAAGACTAAATTGCCTATGTGGAACTCCATTAAAATAAGAATCACCCGTAGCTCAGTTTATTTTATAATAGATAAAAGCATCAAGTATCAACTTTTACATACTCTCACTTTATGAATATAAAATGCTTAAAGTATAAGTAAGTAGGCAATAAAAATAAATTACTTCAAGTTTAGTTTTCTAAACTAAAAATGAATAAATAAATCCTAATCAAGTTTAAAAAAGGCTTCCTCTAGAACATTATATTTGTTTTTTAAAAGTGTGAAAAGACTTTCTTTTTACTTTAATTTTTCAATCATGAATGATAAATTAAATAGTTATAAATTATATATTTAGTTATAGTTATAAACTAATTCGTTATAAATTATACATTGTTAACATTTGTGTCCCGGACATATTGGTCAGGAAAAACCTTATTAAATAGGGAAAAATCAGGGAATTTTACTCTGACAATTTGGTAGCCATCCTGAATAATTATATTTGTTTTATGTTTATTGTTAAATTGATATTCTATTTATAAAAGTTTATTAATTTAATTAAAATTAATTTTTACCCAAGATAAAGTGGTGAGTGAAAGTAGTTTGGTGTAGCACTGCTACAGATTTTTTGCATTCTAATTATAATATATTGTAATGCAATGGATTTTTCATTTTATTGCTGGCATGTCAGCCTGTAAGAACTAGAAAAGCAAAATCTTTTTTATTCATTCATGATCTATTAAACATGTATATATAAATATCAGAATTTTAATTATTTAAATTGCTGCTACATCTGCATAACATAAATTATTAGTTAATTTTTATTTTAAAGGGAGCCCAAGTGTTTGCCGGCAGATCACACAACCTTCCAAGATGCGTGATGTGGAATGGGCTTCACAAACGTGCACACTCTCTTTCACGTCTATCGGTGCCTGGCCCGAAGGTGCAGATGGCACTGATGTCAATGCATCCGCTGCTGCTGGTGGTCTTCTAGCTACAGGAGACGATTGGGGGAAAGTAAAGCTCTACAGCTGGCCAACTATTCAGCCGAAGGTAACATACTTTGTTACTAAGTGGAACCCGCTTAACCAGCGGTAAAAAAAAATTGACTAGTTTTATTATTTCTGCTATCTATCAGAACGAAAACCTACTAACACATAAAAGAGAAAGTTATTTATACTTCAGAAATCTTGAACCTATGAACTTAAGGAGATTATCAGGGCATCAAACTAGAGAGTATTAACAGAAGCCAAATTATCAAAGACTTAAAGAGTAACAAACACCAAAAATTTTTCTATTGTGTGGAGTTAAAATGAGGCATTGTATACCTTATATTCTCCTGCTTCACTAGTTTTTGTATCCCAATCAAGATAGATTTGAAATGCATTTTACTGAATTAAAACCCTTGCCCTGATGGAAAATTCAACGTATATACTCTATAAGTTATAAATAATGTTATTAACTAAAATTTTTGTTATGATTTCAGTCGGTATGTCACAATTATGGAGGGCACAGCTCTCACGTGACTAATGTTACCTTTCTGGCTGATGAGAGCAGGCTCATCAGTGCTGGTGGTCGAGACACTTCTGTTCTCCAATGGAGAATCGTCTAACTGCATATTATTAATGTTATCATTTTAGAATGTTATGGATCTGGTAGGCAGAAAAGGCGATAATTATAAGTCAATAGATTTATTTCTTTTTCCATTAATAATTTGTGAACTCCATAAGCAGAGCAGAGGAGAATATTAGTTCGTTGAAATTAGGCAATGATTAAATTAACAATTATGTATTTAATTATATTTCAGTTATCTTGCACAGCTTCTTTGTTCTTGTTAAAATTAAAAGCAACAAAAAAATCTTCATAAGTTTTTGTTGCTTTTAAGAATCTGTTTTGCTATCTTTGGATGGACCTACATATTATTATTTTTTTTTTAAATTGATTATAAAATGGAAGAACTTTAAACCCTGAGGGATAGCATTACTCCTTCCAAAAAATAGTCACTATTTTGTTTTTAATTTCTTGAAACAACTTCCATTTTCTTAGAGAAGCCATTTCTAAGTCCGTTCCACCATTGGTTTTGCCATATGTCATAAAAAAAATTATTCTATTTTTGGAGTAATGTTGCTCCCCAAAGTATTAAGTTCTCGTATTTTATAGTAAATCTAATTTATTTTTTAAATAATAAATTAACATATTAATGCAAAATCTGTAAAGTGTATCAGTACTTTTTATATTATATTATATTTTTATAATACTTGCTGTTACATGTATTTTATCTCAATATATTGCTTGTATTAAAATGTTTTTTTATAAAAATTAATATATCTCTCCTTGCTTTATACCATTATCGATTAAATCTGCAGAAATTCATTATTGTAAGATATTTTTTAATAATATGTATGGTATCCATTCCTTCAGTAATTTGTCAATGTAAAAACATAATAAAGATTGTTCAGCTTAACATTTTTACTACTATATTTCTAAATGTTCTATTTCAACAATGCTAGTACAATAGATATTGCTTTGAATTTGAAAGAGAAATTTATTCTTGAGCAATTTTATAATTTAGAACAAATTAAGTCATTCATAAAGCAATATAGGATATAATAGAATAGTTCTAAAACCTCAACCCTGATTATCTTTGACTTTCAAAATGCAGAGAAATTCTATATTTTTTTGCATTCTTAAAGCATTCAATAAAACCCAAGCAATACAGGTGCTTGTGATTTTTAATTAAATGAGGTCATTTACAGGTCTAAATCAGTTTAATAGAACATGTTCTTAGAATATAGGTTGTATAAGTACATGCCACCATTAATCTTTACTGTTGATTTAAATGGCCTAAGCATAAGCCTTACATTATTATTCTCTCATTTAATCAAGCTATTTGATTTTAATAACATGAATTACAAATATTTGTGAATTATACAAAGTACTGTGATCTGAATGCCTATTTCCTTGATTCATGTGTCTTCTCAAATGCTCAATGTAACTGGATTGGTCATCAAATCATTCTCTTGATTTTTTTTTAATGGTAAATCAACTTTTCTTCTACTTTGTGTAAATGGGAAAAAAATAATTTATGTATGGGGATAGGCATGCCTTAGGTATAATTTTGTCTTTCAGAGCCCGCCCATACTCTAGTTTAGTCAAGGTAGCACTTTCCGAGATTTGCTCTTATTCGGAACTTATGCTTTGCTCCCTTCATGTTTAGAGTTTAAATGAATACCAATCACTTATTGAGTATTAGATATTTATAAAAAATATTCTATATATTTTGAATTTATGATATCTTGCAGTGCCTAATATATTGGCTTTGAGTAATGTATTTTTATTAACATGTATTCGCTCGATTTGGAAGCATTGTTATTCTTAGCTGTGATATGGAACTTTTGGCCGAACCATTTGAATTTTTTTTTTATTGTTATTGATATATTTATTTGTTATTGTTGTAATAATTTGAAATGCAACAAAACGCCATTACGATAAATGCAATAGATTCATTAACCAATTCCTGCTGTTTAGAAAATAAGGATAGCTAATTTTGTTCTATGAAGTACTAAATCCATCCTGTTATATATTGATGTCTAAACTTATTTTTATTTCATTTTATTTTGACTCCTAATTCAACATACAATTAATTATGTCAAATAATGTCAAAACAAAAAAAAAATAAAACAAATCAAAATTCAGATAATAAATTTTGTATACTTAGTTTGCTTGTTTACAAAACATAAATTCAATTTAGGAAAAATAAGAAACAAGAAAAGAAAACAATATTTTATTTCTCATTCAATGCCACTGTCATGTGAATCATTCTCATGATTTCATCATTTATTTGCAATAGAAAGGATCAAAATACTGATGGTTTTTAAATATCAGTTTTGTTAGGTTGAAAAAAGAGTTTCTAAATATTAGCAACAATCTTCTGTGATTAACATTTCAACTTACATCTTCACTTATAAATTTTTTTTTTTTTATAAAATTTGCCATCAATCCATTTTTAAATCATTTTAAAAGAGATTAACAAAATAATTTGTCACCTTTTCTGTTTTAATTATTGTTTAAGTTAAGACTAAATGGTATATTTATTTAAAGACGTATTTATGTGGGTTAGTTTAACATTATTTATTTGAAAATATTAAAATATAGGAATAAAAAATATTATTAAAAACTATTTTAAAAAATCCAAAGCCTTAATGAGACATTTGTTTATATTTCCATTTTTTATTCAATAAATAAGTTATTGTTTAATTCACATTGTATTCTATTTGTAAATATTTTGTATTTATGATTTTCCAATTCTGGTTAGTTCTTTATCATTTCGAGAGTGTAAGAAAATTAGATTAATATCCTGCAGATGTAAAATTGTGATAATAGAAAATATTTGAAAGATTTTTATCAATAAATATTTTTTTGAAATTTAAAATTTGTTTGAGGCCATTAATTATATTTTTTGAGTGCGAGTGAGTTAATATAATGAATGATGTTCTGGTTTCGAATCAAGTGAAGTTAATGTCACTTTTTCTTTAATCACTTTGACAATCTAACTCAGTCACTTCTCACAATAACTATATACCTATTGTTTAGTGTGCATGAGTGTTTGCCTGGTGCTGATTGTAAATATTTTCTATTTATGTGTAGAAGACAGAAATGAAACTAGAAAATCAAAATATTATTATTACCTATTTTTAATATATTTACTTACCAATGTAATCTGTATGCTATTTGATTGTCCACTAGAATTATTTTGGTAAATTAAATATAATGATTTTTAAACTGTCTTATTATATAATGTAAATTAATTTACTTTGTAATATATTGTCTGTCTTTAAATACTAGACTGATAGAGCTAACTAATATTTGCACAAATTATATGAAAATATGTTATATAATTTACGTTTACTTGTTTACTATGTACCTATTAGTTATTGTTCTGTAAATATATTAAGCTTCACAAGTTATTGTTATTTTTTATTCATTTGTTTTTTTGTCCTAATTTTATTACCTTTTTACTTTCTCGGCTACGTAAGAATCTGAAAAATGCTTTTCCAGCCCAATTTTTGAAAATCTCTCAAGTTTCCGACAAATAAAAAAAAAATCTCTTGTTTGTCCCGTATTAGTAAAGCTTATCAAATTTTATATACTAATTTTTAATAAATCTATTTGTTTTTTTTTTTCTGTTTTGTTTTTCTGCTGTCAGTTTTGCAAGAAAATAATGCTAATTTATTTTTTATTTCTTAATTTTTTTAATCAACACTTGTGGTGGTTTAAATCTGTCAGAAATCTGTAGAAAATTTGTGTGAGTTATTTTAAACACCAGTTATTTTAAATTAATTGAATACAGTATTCTGTTTCTATTTATTTAGAAATTTGTATTATCATTGGAACTTCCTTCACACACCTTGACCCTGAATTAAAACTGAAAAACATGTGGAACAAATATTTATTTTTAGCTTTATTGCAGGAAATTACAATTTTGAGAAAGACTAAGAAAATAATTTCCAGAAATTTCCACACCTTAAGCTTTTATTAAGAAGTTTAAAATGCTGTTTTTGACATATAGTGACCACCAAAAATTTTGTCCACGGATATATTGAAATTAAGAAAAACAATTCATTCCTGCATTTTGTTTGTATTTAAACATCTAAGTATAACTTTAATACCACTGATAACTATTCCTCAAAAACTTTTGCCTGAAAATAAACTCATAATTTGAAATACAAATTTAAGAATAAGATAAAAATTTTAATTCAACATAAGCTTTCATGCATAATCATATTAGATGATGATTTATTTATTTATTTTTGTCAACAATTTTAAATTAATACATGAAATGCAGTCCTCTATTTTTAGTACCATTTTAAGTCATTTGGGCCCGATGGAGTCAACTTCAAAGTCAATTGGAAGGGTATTTTCTCCCATTCTTCTAATACTAGTTTTAAGATATTTTATTAAAATTATACTTTCATTTTTGAACTGTTAACTATGTTTGATAGGCTTTAAATGTGGACTCTAGAAAGTTGTTTCATGTTAATTTGGATAATTATATAGCAGCCATGCCCATGTGTGAATAGCTTTAGAATAAGGGTTATAATTCTGATAAAATTTGATATTTGTTATATACAGAGTTTTGTCAGCAATATTTCACCAATTCTTTATTATTTTCACAACCATTGCAACATTTCGGCTTTTTATGCCGATTTCAAACCATTAATAGTTAACCATAAATAGTTACTGCAATTATAATAATGCACCTATTTATAAAATAAACTAATGGCTTGAAAGTGGTGTAAAAAGTAGTAACGCTGCCATGGTTATGGAAATAATGAAATTTTTATAGCCCAGATTATTTTATACTCGATCACTCCATTGATGAAAATCAAATCCACGATAACACTAGAGACATATTTACCTTCAGAAGAACACTACTATCTTTTGTTGTAGTAGACAAATTATTTTCCTCAAATTTCTGTTCAGCTTTTCTCCATACTATCAACATTAAAATTGTTCCCATCTGAATATTATTACATCACTCTAGTAACCTTTAATTTTCTTTGGTAAAAGCCTTTTTTTTTTTTAAACTTTTATTATAATATTTACAACTGTATTAGTATGAATACATCAAGTAAATGTGTACAGAGAAATACTATCACATGAAACACACTTGTTGAGAAACTACCCACTGGTAGCACTCTAATAATTTGTCTACATGGGAAGATCACGAGGCCATCTTCTTTTCAGACGCCTCGGAGGGTTATCAGGAATTGAAGAGGAAGCAAGGTTAGAAAGAAGAGAATTCGGATGGTTATGAAGTTTGTTATGGAAGGATAGGTATCTGGATTTGGCCAAATCGGAAACATATGGAACATTGAGGTCTTTATGGATTATTTTATTAGTTTTGGTAAAAGTCAACCTATTTTTCTTATTCCTTCAGTTTATGAGAGACTATCAATCACATTGATCTGACTATAATTCCATATTGTTTTAGTATTCTCTGAATCATATCTGGTTCATCTTGTTTTCCTAATTGTTCTCATTTATTCCTGGTGTTATTTTTGTAAAGGTTAGTATGACAAAAACGGGTATAGAAAACATTCAAATTTTACCAGGACAATAACTGTTATTCCGAAGCTCACCACACATAAGAATGACTACAGTTAATTATCCTAATTAACATGAAACTCCTTTCCAGAGTCCAGATTATAAATCCTACCAAACATTTGCGATTCATAGTTCAGATATTAAAATATAATTTCAGTAAAATATTTTAAAACTGGTGTTGGGAAAATTTCCTCCCAATTCACTTCGAAGTTGACACCATTTTTTATTTTAACCAAACCAT